TGTGAAAGCCTCACATTCTTACGACAGAGAATCTCAACGCATCCCTCAAGGAAAACATGGAAAGTTTCCATTTGGAAGTACCTTGCTTATGGAAACAAAGCGGATTTTTTGTATCGACATTGTTTCTCTTTGGCTTTGTTCCACTCCACTTCTTAAGGAAAACTTTAGAAAGTTTACTGAATAACTTTTTCGAAAAAGGTTTCCACGTATATTTCATGAATAGTTAGGAGGAAAGTTGCCAACTAATGGCATTGTATATTAAAAGCGAAATTAACTGTCAAACGAAAAGGACTGTTTCCAATCTGCTTTGGAAAGTGTACAGTATGTATGGAAGAATGTTTTCCTATTCCTAGTGGGAAACAACTACATAGTCTGTTATTGAAATCACTAAACATTCTACCACGATCATCAAAATGGTTTGCTGGGTTATATTCAGATTTTTTTAATTGAAAATACTTACGTTGTATATGTAACTACATTCTGCAGTAAGACTGAAACAAATGACTTTGTTAAGAGGAATCGCTACTATTGAGGTCAGTGTTTGCTTGTTTTTGTTTATAAAAATATAAATACTATTTAGCAATTCAAATGCGGAGATGCAAAATTGAGTATTAGTTATTCACGGCATTGTTGCTGCTGATTTTTTAAAAAATGTATATATGTATGTAGATTAGGAATGTTAATCCCGGTATCCCGAAATTATTAAGGTCTCGAAAATGCCGGGATTCTTGGCATGTAATCCCGGGCTTTTCGGGATTTTGTAATTTGCACTGATGGCAATAATAGATACTCTTTTTCTTGACCAGTATTGGCTATATTTATTTTTTTTATTCAATAACTAATATTTTTATAAATGTCTAGCTCATTATACATATAAAACCGCGCGAGAGTAAATTTTAAACACAAATATCAATATATTCGCGAAACCCTGGGCCAAATATATGAAATTGTGTTTTTCACTGTGACGTCAGTAATTCAAAAATGATTTAAAAAATTCAGAGAAATGTGCTTAGAGAAGAAGTGTGGGTATAAAATTAATATAGAATTCAAACAGATTCAAGTTTCTGGTGTAGATGGGCTGGTAAAAATTGAAAATGTCACTTTATAGAGCTTTATAATTCTATTTTTTTTTTATGAATAAGGCCATTTGTCTTTAAATTACTTGTTCTTCCTCCTTTTAGGTTAAACTTTAAATATTAAAAAAAAAAAATATTTCATTTCTATTTCATTTTATTCATGGAAATTTGTTTTCTTTTTTTTATGGTTCATCTTTTTTAATTAATTCATTTTTTTCTAATTTCCTAGATCATATTAGTTTAAAAATTATGTTCAACAATTTTATTATTAAATTTTTTATTAATATTTTTGTTTTTTTTTTAATTTTACTCAATTTTGAGAAACTTTTTTTAATTATTTATTTAATAATTTTTTTTTTCTTTTTTAAGTAAATTTTCTTTAAATTTGAAAAATTTCATTGTTTTAAAAAGAAATATTTTTAAATTTTTAGAAAATTATATAAACCTTTTTACTATTTTTTGAACCGGCTTCAAAAAAAGAGAGAAGGTTACCAATTCATCGGAATATTTTTTCTTTATGTATGTTGCCGCATAACTTTGGACCACGCCAACCGATTTCGATAATTCTTTTTCCATCGGAAAGGCAGTGTCTAACAGGTGGTCCCATATTAATTTAGTTTAGATCCGATCATTGGATCATGAAGAAAATAACGGTACTCTTAAATTTTTATATGAAAATTGAAGTCGGTTGTGCTTTTTGCTTAAAAATTACGCAGAAGAAATAAAGAAAAATTTAAAAGTCGCCTTCGTAAGCAAAAGTTTATTAGTTTTGGCGAGCTATAATTTACTGGCATGAGCTTGGTACGTTAAGGTGGTACATACTGAGATCTGGTGGGAAGGTATTAGAACAGGGTACTTGAGGTGAATGAACCATGGAACAAAAAAACATTGTCCTCCAGACAAGAACATCGAGATATCAAACTTTAAGATCATACTGCGAAGTAAATTTTTTTTCATTTTCGTAATTGCATTCCAAAAATACTTTAGACTCAGGGGTTACGACGAACTTTTTTTTCTGGTACGATCTAATGTAAATGTATACGTTTGTATGTGGGAGTACAAAAAATAACCAAAACAATAAACAAAAACAAATTTATGGTCCAGTAATTTTTGCAGCATTGGGACAATTGAAATTCGAATTACATACATATTAATATTCCTCGGCCCACGTTAATGTATGTACGTATGCAACAAAATTGCAGCTGCTGCAGCACAACTTAGTTTAGCCGGTACGAATTGAGAATTGCATCAATTGCATTGCGTTCCATCGCCCGATCAGCTTGTAACAAAAACAATTAACAAAGATAGCATGATTTAAACGTTCAGCGATCATCGGACGATCAATAACCAGCACGCACCACTATCGAATATTGCATATACGCACTTGCATTTATATAAGTATAGTTACACACCAACAGCCGGCGAGAATGGACATTGACCACTGCTGCTCGCCAGATGCATCACTTCCAATCAGAAATTTTGTTTGTGTTGTTACAGAGACATTCTTTTGCTGTTAATAAAATTGCAAATAAACAATAACAACAGCAACAACAACTAAAAGAATGATAGGCGAGAGTAAGGTGCAAGCGACGACGAAGTTGATGATGCTGATGAAGTTGACCGGGGCCCCAACTAAGGAATAACGAAATAGTTTAGCGAACAAAGCAAAAGAAAAGTTGCCATTAATCAAGTCGTCGCCAGTGCATCATTTTTTTTTTTTGTGTCGGCTTCAGCTGCAATTCGTCAATAAAAGAATGAAAAACAAACAGTAAGTATGCATTTAATTGATCAAATGCAGTAAACAGCTTTGTTTGTCTGCCCGCCTGCTGATCCTGCAGAGCAAGCGCATGAGACGCATAAATACCAAATGAAGCACAACGAACTGTTGTTTGTTGCACTCGTTTTGGACTGCATGCCGTAATTGTTTGCTTCCTCATTTGGCAGCTACATACGTATGTATGTATGTTTGTATGTAATTATTCTTGGCAGCTTTTTATACAGTCGCAGAGAAAAGTATACTAACGAACTTTTTTTATTGCGAAAAAATTTTATCAAAGTAAAATTTAGAATGAAGCTGATAAGTGCCATTTGCGGTTAACCGGCAGCCAGCTGAAAGTGTTTGTGAAGTTATGAGGACTTTCACACAATTCGACGACCTGCTTCATACATTTCATGCTGGTAACCAGGGTACCAGGGTTATTCGGCGACCGGTCGTATGAAACGGGTCTAAGGAAGATTTTATAAAGTTTGTCTTCTGTATACATATACATATTCAATTAATGCAAAGAAATGTTAACAGCAAGTAATTTTTAAGCCAAAAAACAAAACCGACTTCAGTTCTCATATAAAAATTTTAGATTATCGTTAATTTCTTCATGATCCAATGATCCGATCTAAACGAAATTAGTATGGGATCACCCTTGAGGAACTTGGAAAATGTTTGGCGCTTTTCACGTGGTCTTGAATGCTTGCCTTAGCACCATTAGCAAATTTCCACATATCCTGCGCTTCATGATCAAGGCAGGCTGACAGAAGTGAAGCCATTCTAAAAGACTTACCCAATAAGGACTGAAAAACGTACTTCCCTGCATGCTTGCTAGAAAGGAGTTTCCTATTTACAATTTACACGAATGTACTTAAGTATATGTTTATATTATTTAGCATTACAAATAACATTCAATAAGCATTTAAGTCTCACTAAAACATATTTGATCCGAACCTTAAATATTTAAATTCCTTAAAGAAGTATGATTTTTTGAAATAAAAACAGCTTTGAAAGAACTTCTTCGAAAGGACTTCAGAAGTACGTCCTACAAAAGCCCTTCTGGAAGCTCTTCTCTGAGTAGCGAAAGCACTTTCAGAAAAGCCTTTTGGAAGAGATTTTAACTTTTGAAACTATCTACTGTGTCGTATGTGTGACCCTTCAGCCGTGTACCTGTTCAGGAACTTGCACTTTTTTTTGGCATTAGCTTGAAGATACAAAATTAGATTTGAATCATATAAACTAAACATAAAGAAGGTAAACTCTCCAGATATGGTTCAACATGTTAGAAAAAATGTTTCATTATCGATTTTCGATTACTACTGACAGAAAGCTTAACCTATTTTTCAAAGCAAAAATCTGCTAAACATTAGATGGGTGTCTGCATTGACCTTCAATAAATAAAAGAGGAAAAAATCCTGGAAAACCAGGACGTCTGGCAGCCCTACCTTAGCATGCTATTGTTTCTAAGGTTTATACTTGAGTTCCGCTAACTTTTCGTTACTACTACTTCAGGTCCTTCTGTGAGGAGTTAAGCGGTAAAAAATCCTAGTCGTTCCCAATTCAAGACTTCTATATTATAAACTCGTTCGCAGGTGGTGTATCTGAACATCATATGTCCGACTCTTTTTGTTCTTTAGCTACTACGAGTTTGTTAAATTTTTGTGTCGAGTTTATATTTGTCAATTTTCAAGCTTTCACTTTCATTTAGCTTTCAAGTGAAATGAACGATTTTCACATTCGTTAAACTCTGTTTGCATAATTTTCTATACGACTGTCTATCTAATTAGACATAGCGGAAATGATGTGCGATATACATTTTATAACTGTGCAACTATTACCATTAAAGTGAAATGAATGCTGCTGCTAGGCAACAAGTGAACTAGGCAGCCAAGTGCGAATAAAATGCATATATATACTATAGTTACATTGTACGAGTAGTATGCGAGTCGCATTTTTATGGGTATTTTTTTAGTGGCCACAAATGGCTACTACTAAAGCTGGCAGGTGTAAAAGAACATTTAACAGTTTGAAAACTTTGTTTTTGCCACAAAAGCCAACACAACACATTTCATATTATTATTGCCTAAAATCTTTCTACAAACTTCATTTTATTACACTGTCTTAATATGTTTTTTTTTTTTAACTTTCCTTTTTTGCAGAATATTTTCAACCAATGTTCACCAACTACCAAGGCGTTCATAATGTGCCTGTAAAATTTAAATTTGTTATTGGTATACCAGCTTGTGGCACAATGCAGACATGGCCCATATATCATTACCAAGGTGTAAGTATAGCAGCGACACACAGTAGCTTATTTAGCTATTCATTGTAACGAAATTGAATACTTAAATAATTAAGTACATAGTGCAGCGAGTGTATCTGGTTTGTTAACTATGCTTAATAAACTGTTTTGTGGTTTTATTTTCTTTTTCATTTTCATTCTTAGAGTGCCGATCAGTTGGTACTCTTGGATGATGGCAAATTACGTCACTACACCAATTCGAATGAGGAGGATGAAGAGGATCTTTATGAGCATACCGACTACGATGCCGATTTAGATGATGAACGGAAGTCACTGTTTCATGATTATACACAGGGACAATATTGCATTGATAAGGTGAGTGGAGAAGGGATGCAAGTACTATGTATGTGGAAATGTGTGATATGAAATATCAGACCAGCTTGAGTGCTATGAAATAACTGTATTTAGACTATTTATGAATATATTTTCGCTTTTATATTACCAGGCCATTTCTTCCACGGGTCAGCATCGTCAGATACTCTTTGCGAATATCTGTTTAACGAAAAAGGAGATCAGATGGTCGGACACAACGTTCCTGTTGCGCAAAGTAATCAATCCCATCTTTCATGGCATCTCTTTGATCGTTTTGTTGCTTATATCAATTATATACTTCATTCTGCCCACTTTACGGTTAGTAACTATGTAAGCAATGCTAAACAACCGATTGTTAGTATGAGATTTGGGGCTTTCGACCTAATTAAATCAGTAAAACTAGTTTTAGTTTGCAATCAAATACTAACCAGCTGATAACTATTTGAATCTAATTAAAATTATTTGGTTTCTCCAAACAGTGATCTTGTGGGCAACATAATCACCACTATTGCGGTATGCTTAATGGCTGGTCAGGCTGCGGATTTTGTGCGCATTTTCACAGAGTTCACCAATCATGTGAGCTTCATCGTAGCTGGTAAGCGATTTCTGATTTGTATCATTTGGCTGTCATAACACCCATCCACCTATTTTGCTGTCCTTCATAACGGGTGATTTTTTAAGAGCTTGATAACTTTTTTTTAAAAAAAAAACGCATAAAATTTGCAAAATCTCATCGGTTCTTTATTTGAAACGTTAGATTGGTCCATGACATTTACTTTTTGAAGATAATTTCATTTAAATGTTGACCGCGGCTGCGTCTTAGGTGGTCCATTCGGAAAGTCCAATTTTGGGCAACTTTTTCGAGCATTTCGGCCGGAATAGCCCGAATTTCTTCGGAAATGTTGTCTTCCAAAGCTGGAATAGTTGCTGGCTTATTTCTGTAGACTTTAGACTTGACGTAGCCCCACAAAAAATAGTCTAAAGGCGTCAAATCGCATGATCTTGGTGGCCAACTTACCGGTCCATTTCTTGAGATGAATTGTTCTCCGAAGTTTTCCCTCAAAATGGCCATAGAATCGCGAGCTGTGTGGCATGTAGCGCCATCTTGTTGAAACCACATGTCAACCAAGTTCAGTTCTTCCATTTTTGGCAACAAAAAGTTTGTTAGCATCGAACGATAGCGATCGCCATTCACCGTAACGTTGCGTCCAACAGCATCTTTGAAAAAATACGGTCCAATGATTCCACCAGCGTACAAACCACACCAAACAGTGCATTTTTCGGGATGCATGGGCAGTTCTTGAACGGCTTCTGGTTGCTCTTCACTCCAAATGCGGCAATTTTGCTTATTTACGAAGCCATTCAACCAGAAATGAGCCTCATCGCTGAACAAAATTTGTCGATAAAACACATTTCGAACCGAACACTGATTTTGGTAATAAAATTCAATGATTTGCAAGCGTTGCTCGTTAGTAAGTCTATTCATGATGAAATTTCAAAGCATACTGAGCATCTTTCTCTTTGACACCATGTCTGAAATCCCACGTGATCTGTCAAATACTAATGCATGAAAATCCTAACCTCAAAAAAATCACCCGTTAGATATTATACTCTACATCAGCATGCTGGGCGCCTTCTTTTGGCTCAACAGCTTTGGCTACTACATTTGGAAAACCTTTCGTTCGCGCAATGTATTCTTGCGTGTCACCGATGGACGCAAATATTGCTATTATTCGGGGTATGCTTGGGGGCTCACTGCGTTAATGGCCGGCTTGGCGGTATTTGCGCACTTCTTCCTCGACGCCGAGTCGTACAAGCAACAAAATCTCATTGGTGATCAGGAAACAATCGGTTGGCTAGGCATGTGGATATTTTTTGCGCCTATCGCCTGTACAATACTCATCAATATCTTCTTCTATGTGACCACTTTGAAGTTGATCAATCGCAGGAATGTTTATGGGCGCATACAGCACAAGTTGCGCGCAAAGTAAGTGACCGCAACAGAGCATAAATTGACATTCATATTATTATTTTTTATTATTGCTTTGTCATTTTGCACAGCTTTATCATGTTTTCGTGGATGCTGCTAATCATGTCGATTGCGTGGCTCTTTTTCGTGCTCTCTTGGCTGCCATACGATGGCCTACTCTATGCGCATATACTGGTCAATGCTGGGCAAGCGCCGCTTTTGTTATACGTTTGCGTGCTGCGTCAGAAACATGTTACATTCCTATTGAAGAAGTCATGCTGTTATAATGAGCCACCATCGGCCAACGATTGGGGCGATGAAATGCATTATATGAATTGTAATGACTACTGAGATGAGGCGCGCGTTCGTAACGCGCCGAATTCACAGCAAACCCTGGCACAGCAACCAGCCGGCATATTCCCAGATGAAATACCAATCGTGCCGAGAGTGACTGTATACAGACACACATCAGTGTAAGAAAAAAACAAAAACAGAGAATGGCAAGCTTTCAAAGTGGTGCAACGCTCATTTCTTGAATTGAATATGGTGGAATTGTATTTGTTATAAACACTTAGTCTGATGCATTATTTATGAATGTATGTAGGTTTGTAGCTACATACATATAAGACGAAGCAAAACGAAACAAACCAATTGTACAACACTATACCAAGATTAAGTAAACTCTCATTAATTTTAATTTTTCCATATTTTTATGATTCATAAGTATATTAAAGCACATTCGAAATTAATTTAAGTTACTAATGAAATGTCTAAAAAGTGTACTTAAGCTAAAAATTTAGAAGTTTTTCGAATTATATAGACGAAACTTTGCATTTGCTTTAAGAGAGTTTAGGCGATAGTAATTTAAGTGATTTTAATAAAAACTAAGAAAAAGTGGACTGTAAGGAACTGGTTTTTATGCAAGAGCATGTGCGAATTTTTAAAATTTCAGTGGTGTGGTGAACAGATGGTTTTTGAACTACAGTAAGCAAGTGTTAGAAGCGAGGTAAGTTATTCTCGTTTTTGTTGTTGGTGTTTCCGACATAGTAGGAGTATGATGTAAGTTGCTTTGATAAAAGTGATAGATATATAAAACAAAGAGTGGTCCAAAAAATACTCCAATTTTTGGACACAAAAAGTTTTAAAGCAGAGACCATACCTGTTATGGAGTTTATAGTGCAAAGCCAACAAATCAATTTAGCATGAGGTGATTTTGAACTTCAAAAACCGGTAACTTTTGTTTCTGCTTAGGCATTAATAAAAAGTAAAGCTAAGTGTTGAATGTTGTTTTGGGCCTGAAAACTCTTGAAAAATACCAAAAATATGGTAAAATTAAATATAAAATAAAGCATGCACAAACAGCTATTGAAAAGTAACAAAAACAAGAAAAGAAAGAAGTTAGCCCAGTAAAATTAGATAAAGTTGGTAGGAAATTTGAAAAAAATTTGTAACAGCGATTTGTTGATGCAGTTTACTTCTATTTGACACGTAGATCATGGATCCACAGTCTTGCCCCTAAATTTCATTTGGCAACAATCCGCCATCTTCGATTTAAGTTTTTTGGGGTATTTTGCGATTTGCAAGCTTATTTAGCATTTTTCGTAAAAAATTGTGTAATACAAATATGTAAAGAATTTAATTTCCCACATTTGTTATATAGAAGATTTTTTAAAAATTGCATTTTTTATTGTAAAAGCTTAGCAAAAAACTGTGAAAAAATTTTACATATATATATGTATTACAATTTCTGTTGAAAATACATAGCATATTGAAATTCCAAACTTGTAAAGAATATCATTCTTCACAACTTTTATATCTAAATTTTTTTTTGTACGGCGCTTAGATCACGGCCGAGATCGTGCCAAACATAGCATCAGCCCAGTAAAATTAGATAAATTTGGTAGGAAAAATAAAATAAAAAATTTGTAACAGCGATTTTTTTATGCAGTTTACTTCTATTTGACAAGTAGATCCTGGATCCACAGTCTTGCCCCTAAATTTCATTTGGAAACAATCCGCTATCTTCGATTTAAGTTTTTTTTTTGGGTTTTTTGCGATTTGCAAGCTTATTTTGCATTTTTCGTAAAAAAATGGCTAAATACAAATATGTAGAGAATTTAATTTACCACATTTATTATATAGAAGGTTTTTTTAAAATAACATTTTTTATTGTGAAAAATTAACGAAAACTGCGAAAAAAATTTACATTGTCACGGTTTTCGCCATTTTTTGACAATTTCTGTTGAAAATACATAGCATATTGAAATCCCAAAGATGTATAGAATTTCATTCTCCACAACCTTTGTACCTACATTTGTTTTGTACGACGCTTAGATCACGGCCAGGAAAGCGATAAACATATCGATGTACGGGATGCTCCGTAAAACTCATTTCCACACCTTCACCTGCTTTCATTGAAAAGCAAAAAACGTTGCCCGTGGATTAGGCCTACTGGGGAAACCACGATAACAAAAACGCGCCGAAAAACTCTACTTCAGCGGTGGTGTGGAAATGAGTTTTACGGCGCATCCCGGCCGTGACTAAGCGTCGTACAAAACAAATGTAGGTACAAAAGTTGTGGAGAATGAAATTCTCTACATCTTTGGAATTTCAATATGCTATGTATTTTCAACAGAAATTGCTATATATTTTCAACAGAAATTGTCACAAAATGGCGAAAACCGTGACAATGTAAATTTTTTTCGCAGTTTTCTTTAATTTTTTTTTGCAATAAAAATTGCTATTTTTAAAAAGCCTCCTATATCACAAATATGGGAAATTAAATTCTCTACATATTTGCATTTCACCATTTTTTACGAAAAATGCAAAATAAGCCTGCAAATCGCAAAAAACTAAAAAAAAAACTTAAATCGAAGATGGCAGAATGTTGCCAAATGAAATTTAGGGGCAAGACTGTGGATCCAAGATCTACGTGTCAAATAGAAGTAAACTGCATTAAAAAATTTATGTTACAAATTTTGTTTAAGAAAAAGTCTAACTTTTTATATTTCAATTTATAATTAGCGCACGAAAAATTAAACAGCAAAAAATTATCGATATTCCTGAATGTGTTTGGCCCATATTCAATATGCGATATTGGGAATTGTCCCTTAAATACCACAGCAATTTTTACCGACATTTGTATTTATTTGGCTTTAGGGGGTTTTAGAATTTTTTTATATATTGGCAATTCCTGAAAAGAGTCAAACAATAGCAAAAAAATCTGAATCTAGCTATACCAAAATTGATGAAAAAAATATTCAGCCTTATCCTGAGTTTCGCCCGAAAAAAATTCACCCGAATATTCTTATTCCACTGATTATACCAATCGGTTGATTACATCACAAGATATTAACTACTTTTTCTAATATAATATTTTTTTTGTAGAAAACATAGGTACATTCTAAAAAGATTCCCAATTAAAGAAAAAAGTTAAGAATTCAATATACACCCACTAGAAAAAGTTTCCGTAGATTTTTCTTACAATATTCAGTGTTTTTCACAAAAAAAAAAACGTTAATTTTGTATAAAAATATAGTTTATTCAGATAAACCATTTAAATATCATTTTCAAGCTTTGTCGAAAATTAAAACAAAAACTACCCAAATTTTAAAACTTTTTTTGTTATAATTTTAAGAAAATTTGCAGTTTTATAGCCTATGTAATTTTATGAGGCAATTGGTTGAATTAAAAGTTGGCTTCACTGGAAGCGATTAGTTGAAAGGCCGTTTTCGCCATGCGGTTGTTGCTTTGTCTGTAATATCTCCTCAAGTAAACACCGAATTAGGCGTCACGCATTTTCTTCCATGCAAAGTATGTACGTATGCATGTTTGAAACATATTTTATATGGAAGAAAATGCACACACAAAAATTTCAGAAATCAACGGGACTTTTTAGCAACTTCAAACCAGCACATTATTGTACTAAAATTAAGTGTGGGTACCAAAAATTCTAGAGATAGAAGTTTAAACTTATACCCTAACTGTATATAGGACCCAAATTTTTATTTGAAATTTATTTTTTAATTCTAAAACTATTTTCATATTCATATCTATTCATCGTATGAGGTTCTGAAAGATCTGGCATACTAGTGGATTGGCCACCTATACTATGCTGTCACACTGGCATGCAAGCAATTGCATGGAATGAGTTCGTGCCAGTGCCGGTTTACGTTACGCCAGTAACTGGACTGGCCCACTGGACAGGCTTGATACTGGCATAATGTAAACGCGGCATAAATATTGTCAGCTATCCCCTGAGATACGTTTTAGGATCGTGCGAAAGGCTACTTTTAGGCATCCTATACCAGCTGGACTGTTTATGAAAAATAGTTTTACTTGTGTTTGATGAATGACAATGGTGGCTATTCATATAAAAAAAATCTAATCCAAAGTCTACCATTCTGCAGGAAATGCTCATATGTATGTACATACATATGTGTGTAGTTCAAAGCTGTTAATTATGGAGAAACTCTCTAAGAAATAATCACTCACCTGACCGAACAGCTTGCCTTCTTCACGTTGCACCAAATTACAGATTTGTGCACGCACCAACAGATGAGTATCATCCAAAACTGTATTAAAGAAACGACGTGTAGGGAGCAATGCTTCCAAATCGACAATAAATTCCAAAAAACGTTCACAATATGTTACCACACTAGGTGCCAAATCGGTTTCAAGAGGTATGGCTTCTAATATATTCAGAAACTGAATAATTAAATTCTGTTAAAAAGATAAAAGAATTAGTGTAAATAATTTCGTTTCTTTGCAGATAAATCAAGAAAAAATTAGGGTGAGCTTTTTTTGCACCCAAGGAATTATTTTTTGACTACGTACGGTGTAACATAATACATAAAAGAAAGTACATAGTTACATTTCTAGCATGCTGAGTAATACGTCTGTTCACTGCTAAACTAAGCAATAGTGGATCACATACCTGCAAAAAATGCCGCTCCCATGCTACCTCCGGCATTTGAACACCCTTTTCTTTCTTCTGTAAACGACGCCAGAATTTGCGCCACTCAGGCACTTCCCGCAGCTCTTGCTCCAAGCGTTCTGCAGTAAATAAAAAAAGAATAATTCCATACTTGTATTGTAGTTATCAAAACTTACTTGGCTGTAGACAGCTCCACATGGACAGTGAGACCAACCGTTTCGCCTGCTCGCGACACAACTCAATTTCCATGCTATTGAAACAGTGATTGAGAAATACTATTAGCGCAGTTTTTTCACGCATTGTTGCTTGCCTGCCTTTACTAGTCTCCGCTGGTAGACAGGTTTCCAATACGTGTCTAAAGAATGCCGGATATTCCTCAGGCTTCGATTCAAATATGGGCCAAACTTCAACGCGTTCACGGAATTTCTCATTGACCATAGCTACAATTGACATGAGATGAGCATGCGTAGCCGTTTCACGTTTATAATTAGGCCACAAATACTTTTCCAAATATTGACTGAATTCCAACATCATGATGCGACGGGTTGACGACCTGTGATCTAAAATCTCACGACAGTAAATGTCTTCTATAATATTGCCATTGTAGGGCAGGAGCTCATCGACTGGTGTTTCTGGTGACCAATATTGCGAGGCGAGCTTTCGAGTGCCAAGATTAGTTCGTAAATGTTTAGAAGAAAAAAATGCAGCAAAAACTCACCTGCCAAATGATATCTGCACTAATTTGTGAAACAGTCACTGTGTGGGGATTCTGTTTGCTACCTCCATCTTCGGTGCTAGGGTGTTTACGTTTTTGCTTCATTTTTAGTAGAAATTAACAACTTTAAATCGGGAAAATAAACAAAAAGGCAAACCGACGGAATGCAAATGTATTTTTGCAATGGGCGAGCAACTTTTATAAATTTTGACAGCCGGTTGTTTACAGCTGGAATTATGGTAATAGATTGTAGGCCGACAGGGTTGTATTGTTTAATAAAGGTTAGGAGTTAAAAGATACTTACCTACAAATACGTTTTTTGCGAAGTTTCAAATATATTTCAAATAGTCTGACAGATAAATACAGAAGTATATGCTGAGATATTTCAGGAGTTCTTAATTGTTCGCCCTCAATAAGTTCTGACGCTTGTTTAGCTATATAAAGTTAAATACCTAATTGCCTTATTCATGGAAAATAAAGGTTTATAAACTGAAAAATGTATGAAAACGTCGATTTATAAAGCTCTTTAAACCTACTTTAGTTTTAATGAATAAGACCATACGAGTTTCAGGAGAGGATCTAATTTTTAATGGACTAGACAGGTAAAAACGTAGCAAACCGATACCATTAGTCTGTGTGCAGAGATTAGCTTAAGTAGGAATTACCGTATTGAGAAAATCTTAATGTTAAGTGGTAGCCAGGCTGGCCTCTAATTATTTGTGGTCAAATCCTCCTTGGCCTTTGAATGCATTGACAACGATAACCCTATCCACCTAACTTCCTTGTGATAGGACGTGGTACAATCAAGAAAGAACTCAGAAAGAAGAGGAACAAACTCGGAGAACAATACTGGTGAAACATTACTTACCGGGTGGCTGCCACCTTCCAAGGTACAGAGCATTCATAAACCGCCCCAAAGGAGGTCAAGGATAATGATAGGTATTATGATGGGTCACTGCAGACTAGTTAAGAGTTCACCTGCAGAATTTTCCAAAATTCTGGGGAATCGGTATGCTCTTACAAAAACAATAAGCAGGACTGACTTTAATTATTCGGGGATGAATGAAACATCAATCGATTTACATGATAATTGGAAAGACTTGTCACTGCAGCAGCATTTTCCAAGATTCTTGAGAACTTTTTGTGGCACTAAACAGACGATCGATACGAAAGAATTATTCCGTTACCACGAACGTCGGGTTCACGTGACCGGAACGACTCAGATTTGGTATATCTGAACAAGGGCACTCACTCCAGCAGCATTCCCCTAACCTCTTCGTGGAATTTGTATACTTTACCTTCGTAGCTATTCGGATTCAGTGAAATACATTTTCGCAGACTTCTCTAAAAACTGCGATAGATTTCGTGAAAAACTCCATTAAATTGCTTATCAAAAGCAAATATTACAACTCCGGTTCTTAGGATAGAGTTCTTAAGAAAGAGAATTGATAATTCGTCAATGGGTTTCGACTGGATTGAACCTTGGTGTAACCATTGTAATTATGCTGAGTGAGTCGTATGTATTCAGTGGCATTCAATTCAACCACGTCGACACTGATCGCATGCTCGACCTACCGTTAGATGAGATTGACAGCAATCTTTAGTAGTGGATTCACTAATTTAGGCAGAGTTTAGTAGGCTGATAACTACACACCTCCAAGCTTAAGCCGGTTAGATGAGCAACGGGTTGCGAAAACCTTTTCATCGAACTTGCAGTGTTGCCACAGTACTGCAATAAAGAAACTACTTTCATGGAACTGCAGTGTTGTGGCTGAGCTGCAATAAAGAACTATCACACATTTTATTCTCAAACAATAAAAAAAGCATATTACTTAAGTTTAAATAAATACATTTGCTTTATTTTTAACGGCTTCTTCACCACCGCAACTTACATATTGAGATTTTTATTTATACTTAATAATTTCACGCAAATATTATTATACTATATAGTATATTCATTACTTATATTTTTAAAATACATACATACATAAGTTATAATTATGTAACTTTAATTATATATTTTAATTTTTTATCTCTTTAATTTTTAGTCATCTGTATAAGAGTTTCTTTACAATTAATGTTGTTGGTTAGTACACTATGACCTACAGAATGTGTGTATATATGTATGTATGTAAGATATACATATGTATGTACATATTTGTGGTTAATAATAACTTCTACTTAGTAAAGATGTATTGTTTAGTTACTACATTGAGCAAGGGCGGCTTTTAGTTAAAATTAAATTTAAGCAAACATATTCACAATACAAATTTGAGGACGTGTTTAATATCGTGTTATAGGGATGTATATGTATATGAGTATATGCATGTGCAAGTGTCGCTCCACTTTAATAACTAAAGATCCTTGTGATAATATTTGTGGAGCTTCGCTTGCATGTGCAAATTTGTAAATGAAATTAGATAATATAATTTGCATACAAACAAAAAGTACTTATATTATACACGTTTATTTATACAAAGTGTTGGATATTGTTTTTAATTATGTAGCATTAATTGCTTTCTTAAATCAAATGAAATTTAACTATTTTAATAGTTTTCTTTACTCTAACTAGTTAAAGCGCAAAATCTAATGTAAGAAATATTCATTGATTTATTTTGGATGTACACCCCGTGTCAAAATTCTAAGCGCACAACATCACCACATACATACATACGGACAATTGTTAAAAGTTAATTTGTTTGTAATTTGACTTCATTTATTTATTTAAAATGAAAATATAGTTTATTCTTCAAAAACCCGCATAAATCCAAGTTACAAAGTTTGTGCAATATTAAAAAAAAAAATTAAACTTTCGTTCAGTTTTCAAGCTTTTTATTAGATTTATGAGAAAAATTTTGCGTATGCAGCTTTGTAGCCCATTGAATTTTGGTGCCATAAAGTGTAAGTTTTAAGTAGGTGCATTTTCTTCCATACAAAGCATGTTCGACTATTTCTTTTTTTAATAATAACAACAATTTTCTTCGTCAAAATTGTCAAAAATAAACGGTAAGTCCTAGCTACTTCAAACTTGCACTTTATTAGATATACTATCTTTATGGTAAATTTAATTGCAATTAATTTAACGAAAGTTTGTTGATTTTTTTTTTAATATAACATACACTTTTCGACATCGATTTATACGGTTTTTATTGCAAAATAGAATATGTTTTTATAAAAAGTAACTAAAATAAAATAAAAATTGGTAAAAGTTATGATTTTGACACGGGGTGTATGCATGTATATTCGAAAAGACTTTAAAAACTTGACAAGCAAATAAAATTAAAACAAAAAATAAATAAATTGATAAACTTATAATTTTGACACGAAAAGTTTAAAGTCAAAGTTGAAAATAAAATTAAAACCAAAAATAAATAAATTGTTAAAACTTATAATTTTGACACGGGGTGTATATTCAAAAAGACTTTAAACACTTTGAAATGCAAATAAAATTCACTAACAAACTTATCTAATACATATTTACGCTAATTATAAAAAATTATAATAACATTCTAAAGTTAAACTTAAACACACATTATATGGATTAAACGCAGAGCTGCTTGTGTATATTACTGTAATTTATTAAATTATGTTAGTTTTATTTTTTTTTTTTTTTTTCGTTGCAATATCTACTTTACGCTTATTGTCTCATTTTTATATATTTTTGTATCATTATTTTTTCGTCTATTTTTTACGATTTGTTCCTTTAACATACATACACATATTCGAGTGCCTTCACATGGCTCTGAGCCTTTGTTCATTAAAAAGCTGCCTTGAGTATTTCTTATGTTTGCTTAAACTACATACTAAATACAATTCTGTGCACGTTTGACAAAATAATTTTAATCGACTTGACACTTTTTACGATAAAGCCATTAAATTGCTGCATTTTAAGGCAACATTCTAAGTATCAAAACATTTGCCATCGTTCGTAGCTCTAGCAATCCTTTAAACAAAAGTTTATTTAAAATATTTTATCAAATGTCACAATTTATATTGATTTTAAATAAAGTCAAATAAATTACTCTGTCGAAACTACACAGAACTGTATTTTCTACTTGCACATTTGCTAGCTTAGAGTGAAACGTTTGCTGAGTCCACTTCTTATAAAAACTCATATTTTGATATAAAAAGGAAGAAAAATTAAAAACGCATGGTCTTCAGAAGCATTACGGTACTTCTTTTTGCTTCCAAATAAGGTATAGAAAGTTGGATAAGATTAAAACCATTACTTCTTATTTGTATGGAGTTTTGCTTTGCTGTAAACACTTTTGAAAAATGGCAATAAGAAGTTTTTTTCCACTCATGTAAAATTTGTAAAATGGACTTAGCAACTTCTAGCTCTAGGCTAGCGAATATTATAATGCATGTACATACTTCAGATTACTCATTATTATAAAATTTACTTTATACTTGGCATTACCCAAACCATCACCCGATTTTCTGTTAGCTTAGCTTAATTTCTTTTCAATATTGAGCTGCTTAATTAACTGTGCCAAGTCGCACTAATGCAACTCGAATATACACTGCAATTCTGAGCATACTGAATTTACAAGAAAAAATAAAATTAAAAATTAATAGAAATTACTGTATTAATATTAAATGCCAGCGTTTACGATCTATACACAGTCCACTATATGGCATTGGCTGAATTTTAAATGAGCTCTGCCACAGCATCGTCGCCTTCGCGTATGGGCGCTTGGAATGTGGAGCCAGTAAATTCGTACATCTGTAAATGAAAGTGCAAGTAAATGATTAAATATAAATTAGCAGCAGAAAAAACTTTCCTCTAATGTGCATGTAGTCACACTATGATGTGTGTAGGGGAAACATATGTAAGCGTGTACATTAGATCGTAACAGAAAAAAAAAGTTCGCCATAAACTTTGAATCTTTGAAACTTTGCACGGCAATTTCGATTTGATGGGATTTAGAAATTTGTATTTATTTATGTAAAATTTTTTGGAGAAAAATGCAGAGAAAGTAGAAATTTTAGAGGAAACCAAATGTCAATGAATGTTACATGATAAAAACTAGTTGAAAACAGTTATAGAGTTTCTTGGAAACGAAAAAAATGCACAAAAAATTTTAAGTATTATAAAAATTTTCACCAAAATTAAACACAAAATTTGGTATGCTAAGAAAACTGCATATTGAATTTTACTATAGCAAAGTGCAAGTTTAAGTGGTTAACAAATCGCGTTGATTTTTAATAATAAACATTTTTTCTAAATTTTATCAGCTTTCATTAAAAAAATAATACTAATCAAATCGGTTGACAAATGAACGCTCAGAACTATTTCGAACATTAAATTCCAATTTGTCACCCCTGTGGATAGGGGTCGCCTTTTTAAATTTTTCGCAATATTTTCAGCATTTACAATCGGAGACATTTTTCTTGTTCCGAAGTTGATTGACCTCAATTGCCCCGTTCTAGTACTTACTTACCAGAACTCAGTTTTTTTCACCTTAACGTACCACCCTTATGTCAGTAAATCAAAGCTCGCCAAAAATCATTAAGTATTTTGATTATATAAAAAAAATCATTGCCGGATGTATGTATAGTAGGGTGGTCCAAAAGAAGTAAAGTTGGAATTTTAATGCTCTTACCGCATAGGATTATTCTACATCGAAAAAATATACCCCTATTTTTTATTTTGGAATCAAAAAATTATTTAAGAGGTCGCTCAAAGTTTTCCATGTATTTTATATGGGGAAAAACAACCTTTCGTAGAAATGGTATCGAGTTCTTGAAAAAAAAATATTTTTCGATCGGAAAACTCTGGTTCTATTCTTACCTTTGAAGGTCGAGGTAATTTCTTATTCAATGAGACCTGCATCTGGCAAAATTTAAAATTTTTTGTAGTTTTTTTTTTACCTAGAAACTGCATGTAATGAACTTTAAAAAAGTTTAAATGCGCTTTTCGAACAGCAAAAATGCGTATCTAAACCATTTTAAAAAATTTTCTACGTGCTATTTGCTGGTCAAAAAAGGAAAACAATTGAAATCGATCATAATTAGTTTTCTCAAGAGCTTTAAAACGTTGTAAAATTTATTTCAATAGAAATTTTCATTCCTGAGATTTTAGGTTATTAGACTTTGTCACGAAAAGCGTTCAATTTCCGCACTGTGCGACCAATAGGTTTGGCTATAAAAAATTTATATAATATTTTTTCGAAATTGCCGTACAAAATACTTTAGTCCCAGGGGTGTTACTAAGAACTTTTTGTTTGCTTGTAAGGTGGCATGGTCTAATGTACATACATACACACATGCACTGCCATGGACGTAGCCAGAACGACATTTATGGGTGGAGCTCAAAACTATTAAGCTAGCTAAGGCTAGTTAGGGTACAATTTTTTTATAATTAGGGAAACTTGGAAGTTAGGGGTCTCGAGCCCCCTGCACGTACCTGGCTACACCCATGTACACTGCAATACCCAGAATTAAAAAAAAAAATCGAATAAAAAAGTAAAATATTTGACAATTAATTTTTAAGATTTCAACATGTGAATTCTTTACAAAGTTTGAAATGTTGATTTATGTATATGCTGTTTTTTTAAGTAATGAGCAGGGACCGAGAACGCGTTCCAGTTTCGTTTGAGTTCCGCATGAGAAAGAAAAGAAATGTCAAGTACGTTCCCACAAAAGAACAAATCGGGAAACAAGTTTTGAGAGCAGTTTGAACACGGGAACACAATGAGAACAGAAAGTTTTGGAAACGTTTCCAGTGAGAACAAAATGAGAACGAAAGTATCGGGAAGGTTTTCAAGGAGGATCAAATAAGAACAAAAATCTGCGGAACGTTCTGCTAGAGAACTAAAGGTTTGATAACTTAACGTTTAGAATGAGAATGGTGTCTGCGTGTTGGGAAGAAAAATCGTTTCAATGAGAGCCACGAATGTTAGTTCTAAGCCAGAGGAAGTCTGGATCATTTCAATATCCAACTCATTTATCATTAGAGTGAACTGTTCACTTATGGAATAATTTTTCAGTTTTTGTGCAAAAAAAAAAAAAAAAAAAAAAAAAAAAAGTTCTTGTCTTAAGTCTTTCGTTGACTTAAGTTGCATAATTACTTTTCAGCTTCCCTTTTTAATATAAAAACATTACAAACTAATAAACGCTATGGGAAAATTTTGTTCTCGCTTCCCTTCTTAGCGAATAGTTCAGCGAATATTTTTCCCGTTTCGTTCTCTGTCAGAAAGTTCCTGTTCTTCGAGAGAAAGTTCCTTGGACTTTTTTCCCCGTTCAGTTCTTTTCAATAACGTTCCGGCGAATTTTGTTCCCATTTGGTATTCTTAGAAATCTTCCCGAAAGTAGTGATCTCCTTGAATCATTCCACTGGGTTTTACTTTTATATAATTCCCATTGAGAACGTTCTCGACAGTTTTGTTCTCATTTTGGTTTTGGTTTTGAAGCGCTCTTGCAAACAAAACTACGGGAACGACATTTAATTTCGATCATACCTTTTGTTCTCGGTGCCTGGTAATGAGTTAAAATTTTATAAAAAACTACTAAATATTAAATAAGTAAAAGAAATGTATCTAAAACTTGTTAACACTCTTTGTTTCTATTATTTTTTCCACCACTGTATGTATCCCTTCACACTCACCGATGGTGCTCGATTGTTGCGCAACGTCGCATAATCGGCAAATTCATTTATATGTGCATCATGAACACGTCCCAGCGCATTAGTATTGTTCATATTACCACCGCCGCTCACATTCTCGCCATTATGCAGAACGGAACTACCCACGCCGTGATTGCCATTGCGTGGCTGTATGGTGGCATAGGTGTTGTCAACAACACTATGATGTGGCACATGATGTTCTAATTGAGCCTGAAAATAAAATAAATGCAATTGTTCAAAACTCAAATTTCGTTTAAGGAAAGAAGGTATGGGCTTAAGTCTATTTCCGTAGCGTGGCTGCGTCCGTAGCAATATTCAGTATAGTCCGCAGTATATTTATTCAGTGTGAATTACATTTCCGACATTTTCGTAAAAGGTAAAATAGGGCGCCGACCTCAATATATTAGTGAAAAGTGCCGTTTCGACGGGGTCAGACCAAAAGGAGGAGAGCCCTATTGCGTGTAAAGATCTCGGGTCTGTATAAGTCAGAGTTTTACTTGCTACATTATCCAGACCAAAATGGTGTCGCAGTTACGCGGGTGTCTCGAGGCAACTGAAGTTCTTCGTCTGTGCTAGGTAGTGAAAATGAAAGTCGTTATTAGCATCTCTGAACAACGTCGGGCCAAGTGGATGTGCCGTGCATATCTGAATCAGTTCCTACAATTTGTGGAGATGTCTACTGACGTACCTAGGAGGTCGCACAACTTCAAGTTCTTGTTAGTATGTTCCCTGCGGTAGCAATCGAGCAGGAATTGCTTGCTAAGCTGCCTTAAAGGAAGCATTGAGGTCTCACAATGCAGGTGGTGTTTAAGCATCATTAGAAAACAGAGACGATAAGTGGCTGTCCGGTATTTCATTAGGTATGTGGCTTGGTCCAGTGTAGCCGTTGTAATTGGTGGTATGCCGTGGATGACTGTTGTTATTGTAACAGCAGTACTCAACCCCTCAGATAAACTCATGTACATACGTGGATGTCTAATGGGAGCCTATTCTAATCTGCTCAGATGATGAAAAGAATCGCCGGTGATTTTGTAGGTGAGAACCTAAGAAATACCTGTTTATAAGGTTGTTGTAGTAGCAGTGTTAAACTCCTCGGGGTTTGTCATGAGTTATCCTCTGACCCGGTAAGCCTGAATCCAATGAAGCGGGCGGCGTCGATGGGCGCAGTCCAGAGGGCTTTCGGTTTCAGGGTCATCGTCGTTGAGTCTCTGGCACTACCCAAAATGGAGTTGTGCTAGGTTTCACCTCGTCTTCACGGTAGTTGGGGCGGATCGTTCCGCAGCAGAGCGTTTTTGGGGTGGTTCCCACGGTTACATTCCACGAGGAAGTGCTCGATAACATGCAGTCTCATTGAGTGTCGTGTGCTGAGTGCAAGTCGTAATTGGTGAGTCGAGTCGTATCGAAAATTGCACGTCAGTGCCTAATATTTCGATTCGACTATTTGTCGGCTGCTCAGGTGCTGCCGGCTAGCGATTTGAAAACTTTGTCCCTGGCTCGTAGTTCGTTGTAGGTGGCTGAGGTGTAGAGAAGGAGAACATTTCAGACTTTCAGGATTTTGGGGTGGTTGGTTGTCGGTATATTGGCGCTGTAGACGAAGACGTCTGTTTCGAGCCTGATCTCGTTATTTGATGTGATGGAGGGTGTGGCGGCGGTGACTGATTGGTGAGATAGTCGTTTATTTTCTACCAAAGGCTGTCGATGCTTGAGTATGTTGCCATTAAACCGTGTTGGGGAGAGTACGCCGCCTTGAGATACCCCCTGTTTAATTCTACGCGGCTTGGACTTGGAGTTACAAAATTGGACTGATGATTAGCCTCCACAGGGATAGCTGGTTATCCATCGTTTCGTCCAAGCTGGGAGCGACGAGTGAAAGGGCCGTGGGGTTATCCGTGTCCAATGCCTTCCGATAGGTCAACTGCGACTAGGACCTTCCTGTCACATGGTCAACTTTGGTTCAGACCCTCGCTAATCTTCCTTCCCAATTTTCTACATCTCGGTAATGATGAGGGCGGACAGTGACAAGTCGAAAGCGACGGTGAGGCATCGACTCGAGCAGGTTCTAGCTTTTTCAGCATAATTCTGCGCGTACCTTTTATTGATTGCAATCAAGAAAGGTTGCCATCCTGTAATTTCGATGAAGATTATGATATAAACGCATTAAGACAAATCCTTTATAGATAATAAGATCAGCATTTGAACTGGTTAATTTATCCGTCAGCAAAGATTTGTATGAGGTCTCTAATTAGTAGGATTCGTTCAAGTTTTGATAAAGAAATCACTTTCAAAGGATCCAAATACGCGAAGGATACCAGAACCTGATTTTGATTGATGCTGGTAAGCATTACGATACTAAGCGGTGAATATACTCCAAAGTAGTCGGTTACTTTAAGAAAGAAAAGCTGTATTAAAATAATACACCGCCCCAGTATGGTTTGCACTACTATTGCCGACACCATAGGTTCCCGTGTCGTGCTTTTTCAAATTTGATGTATTCTCTCAGTTATGATGACTTCGTTTCTTCCAAAAAATGCTGTCTTTCTACACTCAACCCTGTAAAAGGGCATGTTTTTGGCTTCTTGTCCCTGTCTAGCTAACGCATTTCATAATATTGTCGTTTTGCGCAACCATCTGATTTTCAGGGCAACCATCTCCCCGACAAAGCTTCAAAGGCAGAGAGGTGTACAAGAGTGTGACAGTACAAGAAACGAGCACAAAATTGTCTCAACAAAAGTATTGAGAGCAGATTTAACGGGAACAAAAGGAGAACAAAAGGTTCGGGAACGTTTCCCTAAAAAACGAAATGCGAACAAGATTCTAAGAAACGTTCTCAAGAAGAACAGTATAAGAATGAAACTTTCGGAAACGTTTTCAATGGGAACAAAATGAGAACGAAAGTATCAAGAACGTTTTCACGCAGGATCCAGTAAGAACAAAAGTCTGGGAAAAGTTCTGCTAGAGAACAAAACTATAACAAAAGTTTTGAGAACTTAATGTTAATAATGAAAGGGACGACTGGGAGTTGGTATGGAAACTCGTTTCAGTGAGAACAATTTTTTATTTTCTGTGCAAGAAAAGTTCGTGTCTCAAGTCTTTCATTGACTTAATTTGCATTATTATCTTTCAGTTCTTTTTTTTATAAATTTTAATATTCAAATATTTTAAACGCTGTAGAACGCTATGAACAAAATTTTATTCTCGCTGCCATTTTTCGCGAATAGCTCCGAAAAGATTTGTTCCCGTTTCGTTCTCTTGACTTTAGTTCCCAAATGGTTCTTCGAGAGAAAGTTCCTCAGACTTTTGTTCCCATTTTGTTCTCTTGGAAATGTTCTCAAAATTGTTGTTCGCATTTCGTTCTCTTTGGGAACGTTCCATAGGATTTTGTTCTTATATAATTCCCGTTCAGAACGTTCTTGACAGTTTTGTTATCACTTTCGTTCTTGTGAAAACACTTCCGAAAGTTTAGTTCTCATTTCGGATGGCGGTTTTAAGCGTTCTTGGGAACAAAACCACGAAACCGACATTTAGTTTCGATCATACCATTTGTTCTTGGTCCTGATTTTAGAATTGAACACGAAAAGAGAAAGAGGCAGTCAAACGGTGACTTTTTTGGTGGACACGAAAACACTATTAGATAATACTCACCGGTGAATCCGAATTCGAAATGTGATCGGGCTCAGAGAAGACTTGCATGGTTAGCTCTTGCTCCTCATAGAGCTTGAGTTTTCTGTAAAATAAATTGTTGTTAAAGGTTATAAAGCTATAATTCAAGGCATATACTGTGAAACTCACTGCTCTATCCACAAAGGATTCTCGGTTGTATTCAGATCTTCTATGATTTGTTTCTTGATTAAAGCCTCCTTGCGGCGATTTTCGACAGGCACGGAGAGATTCCTAAAAGGTATAAGTAATAAATGATTGAAACATATAACTAAAACTGGCTATATCTACTTACCAATGCTTGAGACAACAACACAGCACAATAAAGCTAATAACGCCCACAAAGAGTACGATAATGAGCGCCACCAAACCTGCCACAGCTAAATCAAATTCATCCTGAACGATGGTAATGTAGGCAGGCACGACATTCTCAATAGCGAAACCGGCATAATAGTCCTAAAAAAGGATATGTAAGTACATAGAAAGTAAATGTTTTTTTTTTTTGATGAAAGCAAAAAAGTCACATTTCACCACTCACCCGCAAGTAATCATAGTTTGCATCGATAACTTTGAGAATCTCATCGACAGCAGCAATTTGTTGCGTATGCGGCTCGACCGCATGGAAGAATAAATCACACCAATCCATACGTATACGTCCCATTGCATCCACATGATAACGTATCTCATCGACTATGATGCGATGCTGTGTCGCATTACGCAATTCAGCGATTATCTCCTCCTGCTCCTGATGCACTTCCTCCGGTGGGCGCGACAGTATGACGCGCACCAGCTGCGTTGAATCGAATACCCAAACATAGACTTTTGTGCGCGTTGATTGCTGTGGTTGTTCTAATTCCTTAGCAATTACTTCCAGCTCAAAACGATCTTGATTGTATTCGGCCATGAAGGCAGCAGTGGTGATGCGGCCATCGGTTGAAATGGCTACAGACGAATATACATATAATTTTTGGTTAACATTTTTTATTTCTCTATTACATAAATGTGTCGCACTCACCAAACGGACTTGGCACTATAGAACCGGTGGCCTTTGTAGCCCCGTACTTATACAAATTTGAGGCCACAATCATATATTCGGTCTTGGCGTTCTTGCCCGCATCGGCGTCGGTGGCATTTACAACCGTTATTATGCTGTTAATGGCTGCCTTGGCATTCACACCGGCATAGTAAACCTGTGGTTAGGTGGACGGGCAAAGTTTTGTTAAAGTAAGTTATGTGGACGTATATTGTTAGCGGTGCATTGAGTTACCTCTTTTTCGAAGACTGGTGCATTGTCGTTCTCATCGAGCACTGTTATCCACACCTTGGCTACTGTGTTGTCGCGCTCCAAACTTTTTATTGAAAATGAAGCGCGTTCTTCTTCAGAAATGTGCAGATCCGATTTGATGCTTGCGAGGATGTAAAGCGTGTAGAAATCGATATCTTCCCTAAATTAGATAAAATTTAAGGAAATTAATTTATGTTATATTCTGTGTTGTGCTATATTGTGTGAGTTTGTGTTTTTTATGCTATGGTATGTTATGCCATGATATGTTATGTTATGTTATGCCATGTTGTGTTAGTTTATATTATGATATGTTATCTCTTATGTTATGTAGTGATATGTTAGATAACGATAACGACAAAGATAAACATAAGGATGAGTATAAGGATAAGGATAAAGATATGGATAAGAAAAAATCATAAGAAAAAGGATAAGGGCAAAGATAAGGATAAGGGTAATGATAAGGAAATACATATGTTGACTGCTGAAATTGAGAAATAATAAAACTATTTTTTAGCTCACCTATCCAAACTCTTGTTGGTGTAAATATCGCCTGTGGCTTTGTCCACAATAAACGCGCTATCCTCATTGCCCAGCAATAAGTAGTAATAGACATCTCTGTTGTGTTTACTGCGCGCCGTTGCTTGTATGCGACCAATCTTCACCTCGCGCCCACTATTCTCTCTAATGGATATTTTATAAGGATTCGAAGCATCCGGGAACTCAGGACGATTTTCATTTGCATCAACAATGCTAATACTCAGGAAGCGCAACGTTTCGAAGGGTGTCGGGTTGCCAGCATCCCGCGCCACTAAAATTATGTCGTAGCTATGGAGAGGGCGAAAATTAAAAAAGCGGTGAGCAACAAATACGCACGAAATATGATTTGTAAACATCTGTGTACACGCTTGGCACAGCATTAGGCAATACAGTTACATACTACATAGGTTTGGTAAGAAATTAAACATTAATATCCTTTTATTTCATTTCGTTTTGACGGGCCCAGTACCCGACTTTTCCATAACCACTTCGGCAAGATCAATTCGTGGCTAATGTGAAACTACCCCGAAATGTTCACGAACTTGTCGCAAAATTGCATTGAAGTGGTTCTGAAAAAGTCCTATACTAGTCCCAAAATGATCCTGAAATAGTCCCGAAATGTTCCTGAACTAATCGTGAACTGGTGCCGAAAAAGGCCTGAATCATTCCCAAAATAATCCTGAATTAGGCCTCAAATGAACCCGAATTAATGCCGATATAGTCCCGAAATTGTCCTGAAAATTGTATCAAATGGCCCAGAACTAGTCTAAACCTGGTCCTTACATAGTCGTGAACTCGTCCCGAAGTGGTCCTACGATAATGATTTCGAATAAGTTTTGAAACGGTTTCGAAATAATCTCTTATCGGTCCCAAAATTATCCCGAACTAGACCCACAATGGCCCAAAAATATTTCTGAACAAGGCCCGAAATGAACCTAAACTTGTCCCAAAATGGTCCTTAAATTGTGGTTAACTAGTAACGAAATGGTTCAGAATAGATTCCGAAACGCTCCCAAAATAGACCCGAAAAGGTCCCGAAAAAGTCCAGAAATGTACCTTTGTACACACAAGAAGCAAGTCCAATTTTCTGCTATGTTTACGCGAAGTTTACCCATACCGAAAGCAAAGACGTTTACACATCAAAAATCTGATTAGTTTAAGCTGCGTCAACTCACTTCGCACGCTCCTTGCGGTTTAATTCGCGCTTGGTACGCAATTCGCCTGTAACGGCATCGATCCGGAACTCCTCAGTCTCCTGCACATTTTCATTGTTTACTTGCAGGTGATAGGTGATGTAGCCATTTTCATCGGTATCATTGTCTGTGGCCTTGACGGTGAGCAGTAAATAATCACGTTGTACGATATCCTGTAAAGCGAGAAACATTTTTAAAACTATGCCATTTCGCGCGAGCTAACCTCGCAGCAACACTTACACCAGGTATCTCTATGGTGGCATTCGACAGCGCTGGTATCACGAACACCGGCCGATGTTGATTCACACCCATCACAGTGATCAGCACACGCGTGCGGCTCTCCATGGTACCCGAACCTTGCGTGTCACGCGCCACAACTTCCAACGCATATTGTCCTTTCTTGCCATGCAAGCTTTGTGCTGGATACACAATGCCGGTTTGTGCGTCCAAGCGGAAAAGCCCCTGATCATTGCCGGCAGTAATAAAGTAACGTACATCGCCAAATAGGCCCTCATCTGCATCGAGCGCCTTCACCTGCTGCAATGCGGCGGGCGGATTAAAAGCAGCATTCTCCGCCAAGGTTGTGGTGTATTGGTCTTGCGTGAAAATTGGCGCATTATCATTGACATCCAGAACGTTTATGTGGATCTACGGGAAGCGAGTGATGCAATTTGGGGATAAATATACATAACTACTATAAAAAGCTGTTTTACAAACCGCTGCCGTCGCTGATTTCTGCACTGTCGCTGGCGCCTTATCCTGGGCCACAGCCGTCAATGTGATCTCGCTGATCTTCTCGCGATCGAGTATTGTCGCATCGGCCACCATTATGCTGCCAGTATACGCATCGATACTGAAGTATTTATTATTCTCCCCAATCAGCGAATAGGTGAGTTCACCAAAAGAACCAACATCGGCGTCGAATGCCTCCACCTTGCCAGCGACGGTGCCGCGTGGTGAATTCTCAGTCACATTGAAATAATACTCCGATTGGCTGAAGTGCGGTTCATTGTCATTCAAGTTGATAATATCCACAGTCACCTCAGCGGAAGATGTGAGCGACGGCACGCCGGTATCACTCACCGAGGCGATGAATTTCACCTCCTTCACTATTTCATAGTCGATACGCGCGATTGAGGTAATTACGCCGGTGGTTTTGTTGATGGTAAAATAGGCATTCGGTGAGATATTGTATTCACCGATGGTCGAGTCATCATCGTATGCCTGCAGGGTAGTCAACACAGAGCCAATTGGTTGCTCTTCGGCCATTTGTAGCTTGATTACAGGATTATCGGGCGTCCAAGGCGGATTGAATTTCTTGTAAATGGGAGAGTAGAAAAATTTATTTAAATTCACTTAGCAACACTGTAAATCGTGTCAAAATAAAAAATAAAGATACAACAAAAATAAACGATGAATTTTGTTTGGAAGCTAAAAAAAAAATTCTAATTAATTAAACTACAAAATTAATGTATTTGAAAATTCAAAATTATCATAATCACACAATCAAGTAATGCAATTTTACAATGCATTGGCACCAAAAATTCAGTCATGTGATATATCATATGGAAAATTCAAAATCTTATTCATAAACGTTTTCACTATCCTATATAAAGCAACCACGCTCTGTCCGTTTAAACTGGGCAATGACCTGAAGCTTGTAAGGGACGACAAATGCGATTTTCCGATTTAATTTGAATATGACGATTCACTTTTTTTAATTTACAGGTCCAAAATGTGCTTGGCAAGTCTTGCTGCAATACAATACTCGCACAATTATTTATCTTATTCGTAACATTGGTAATTTTTGCGAAATTTCTCTTCAGTTATTTGGGACTAGCAGCTAACATTATAGCTTTGTAAGTATCCAAGTTTAGTTCTATGTACATTAGGGTGGTCCAAAAATGCATTTGAAAAAGTAATGTCGGATTGCTCTATACCGGAAAATATATATCCCTAATTTTTATTTTGAAATCAAAAAATATTTAGAGGTCGCTCAAAGCGCTCAAAGTTTTCCATGTATTTGATATGCGGGAAAAAACAATTTGTCGTAGAAATGGTATAGAATTCTTAAAATCAAATTTATCGATTGGAAAATTTTGTTTCTCTTTAATACCAATTATTTACTTAACCATTTTTTAATAGGAACTATATTTGATAGATCCTCCAAAAACCGCAGAAAATGCAATGGTGGGGGGCGGTAGAATTAAAAAATGGTGAGAGCATTAAAATTCCGACTTCACTTTTTTTTTGGACCGCCCACCCAAAAAAATCTGTACTATTTTTCCATTGGAAATACACAATTTATTATATTTTATTACTTCCGCCAAAATATTTCTAAAAATGTTGAGATTTATGTGAGCCAATTTGAAACTATCTCCAAAAATATTCCAAAAATATATATCTATTTTTTTATAAAACAAAACGCTTACACTTCTGAGAATAAAGTTTTGGGTGAAAATTTGTTGAAGTTTTTGTACTTTTGAACAGTTTTAAACTTGGGTTTATACGGGTTTTAATTGAAAATTCACCAATTCAAATTGAAGAATAAACATAAAATTTACGTGTGCTGGACCTGTTTAAAATCTAGTTTTTTATAAATATTAATATAATTTAATTAATTCTTTAATTTTAATTTTTTAATTAAAAGGATTGAGCTTATGGACTAACTGCTCAAAGAAATGATATTTTTGTTTTAAATAAACATGAGTATAAATTTTAATTTAGGCCACTCTATTTCGACATCTGAGTGGAAGATCGACTTACATATGTCGGCAGCCAGTTCGAAAACACCATACTTCAGAAAAATTTTCAAGAACGCTCTACTTTATAATTTTATTGAAAAACACCCTATCTCAGAATTCGCTTCGAAAACGCCCTATCTCAATTAAAAATGTGCTGAGATAGGGCGTGCTTCAACCAAATTCTGAAATAGGGCGCTCTTGAAAAGTTTTTTGAGACAGGGCGTTTTCGAACTGGCTGCCGAGATAGGTCGATCTGTGTTGATTTTTTATATACGTACATATGTATATACATGCATCTTAATTAAAATAACCCGTGCTCTCTTTTCATTAGATTTCCCATTTTGGTCGAAGACGCTCCCGACCTATTGCTACCGTCAATTTTTAGTCAAATAATAGAGAACATATTATTTTGCGTCCTAGATATTTTAATTGGCGGCATAACTGTTCGCTATTTCATACCATGCAAAAGGCCGCTGTTAGTCATATTTGCGATCAAAAATATAATCAAGTTAACCGTTTGTATATCAGCGCTGTGAGTATTTGATATACATACATACATCTCGACTCAAAATTCCAAAATTAATATTCTATTTTTATCCGCTTAGCAATACCTACATAGACCTATACAATAATCTAAAGGATCGCGTGGATGACAATGAATCGATAGCATTACTACAACCGATGGTTGAAAGTGAATTATTTTTGCGAAAAGAAAGTTTGGTTTGACAACAAAAAAATAAAAATAAAAAACGAAGGGTAAATAAATTTGTATACATATGTACATATGTATATCACCTACCGGTGGCATCTTATTGACATCAGTGATCTGTATGTTAAGCAGTCCACGTCCTTGTTGCACAGTAGGCGCAGTGCTATCCGTTACAAGCACATTGATGCGTATGACCTGGCAGGTGCAGATAAAGAAGACGAGATTAAAAAATATATACGTACAATGATTACAAGCTAAAAATGACTTGACGATTTTTCGATGATGTTAGAACTTACAGCAAATAGTTCACGATCCAGTTGCTTGTTCACGATCACCTGCCCCTTACGATTTATTGTAAAATATTCCTTAAACTGTTCACTATTTGGCACTTCTTTGCCCTCTTTGTCGATGGCGATAATATCGGTGCCGGCAAATTCGAGTGCACTGTATGTGGGTACGTCGGGATCGAGTGCGACCAGTGTGTGAACTAATGTGCCAACCGGAGCGTCTTCGGGGACCTAAGGAGTACGAAAATTGAAAGAAAAAAAGGAATTGTAAATTTTAATAGAAACACGATGAGCATGGTTAACTGCTTATCACAATATTTCAACTAATTATTCCGTGACAGACAATATTTTTATAAATTAAAAATTAATTTAATTATAAGAAAAGTATTACCTCTTGTTTCAAGAATTCCCATCCAATTTTAATAGGTAAAAATGAATAATCAAACCTATACAATTTTTACCGTATTTGGGAACTATTTAATTTTAAATCTCAAATTGTATGTGTAGAGTGACTTTTTCTAAAATTCTAAAATCAAAACTGGTCGAGACAAATTCCATGGGTTTGCGGAAAATTATTTTCTACTTTTTATAGAAATGTTTTGTTTGATTGTATTTCTATTTTTAGTCCTCTGTTATTGTGTAGAACACAGGGACCGAGAACAAATAAATGTTGTTCTCGTAGTTTTTTACCCAAGAACGGTTCAAAACAAAAACCAAAATGCGAAAAAAAAACTATCGAGCATGTTCTCAATGGGAATTATATAAGAACAAAACGCTGTAGAACGTTTCCAAAGAGGATCAAATTCGAACAATACTTTCGGGAACATTTATGAGAGTACAAAATGGGAACAAAAGTCTCCGAAAAGTTTTGGAAAAAAAGAACTAAATGGGAAGAAAAGTCTAAGGAACTTTTTCTCGAAGAACAATTTCGCAACTAAACTCTCAGGAACTTTCTTACAGAAAACGAAACGTTTAGTTTGAAATGTTTGAATATTAAGATTGATCAAAAAAAGAACTGAAAGATAATTATGCAAATTAAGTAAACGAAAGACTTAAGACACGAACTTTTCTTGCACAATAAATTAAAAATTGTTCCATAAATGAATAAATAATCTATTTTTCGCAATTTTTTCATAAAGATATGGTTAATTTTACAACAAGAACACCAAAAATAAGAGTTCCAAAACTTATGCAAAATTAAAGAAAATTCTGAAAATTTTCATAAAATTATTGCACTTTTTAATTAGACTCTTTAGAAAAAAAATTAACTATGCAGTTTTTTATGCCATTTAATTTTAGTACAATGAAGTCCAAGTTTGAGGTAGCTAAGACTTACCATTGATTTTTGGCAATTTTCGTTCGTTGAAAGTGTCGGCCATTTTTAACCGTCTTCCAAAAAAGGAGAGGTTATCAGTTCATCGGAATATTTTTTTTGTAATTTTTTTATGTATGTTACCGGATAACTTTGGACCACGTCAACTGATTTCGATAATTCTTTTGCATCGGAATGGTAGTGTCTCAGAGGGGGTTCCATACTAATCCGATCATTGGATCATGAAATATATATATTTTTTTTTATATGAGAATTGAAGTTGGTTTTATTTTTTTTGCTAAAAATTACTTGTCTCCATATAAAATAATGTTCGATAATTTTTTTTATATGGAGAAAATAAGCCACACCTTCAACAAAAAATGTTTTCAAAAATCAACGGTAAGTCCTAGCTTCCTCAGACTTGCACTTTACTGTGCTAAAATTGAATGGGCTAAAAAACTGCATACTCAACTTTTTTCTATAGAGTGTAATTAAAAAGCGCAAAATTTCAATGGAAATTTGCAGAATTTACTTTAATTTATAAGGTTACGAACTCTGAGTTTTGGTTGTAGTATTAACCATATTTAAAAAAAAGTAAGCGAAAAATAAAATATTTAAACAACAGTTGCCCGTATTGCAAAAAAAAACTCTTTGAAATTAAACTTTATTTCATGACTGTATTTAGACGAAGGGGAAAAATTTCCATTTCGCCGGCTTGTGAAATTTTTTTTTTTTTAGTAATTAAATTAAGTGAACACCCCCATTCCCAGCTATGTACTCACCTCTGCATGTTGCGTTGCCGGTGTGAAGTATGGATCTTTATCGTTGCTATTGTTTATGTTAACCGTGAGTGTTGTAGTTCCCGAAAGACTAGGTGTGCCCATATCGGTTGCCAGTACTTCGATTTGATAGGTATTACGACGATCATAGTCCAATTTGCGTGAAACAAAAACATCACCAGTGTGTTCATCAATGCGAAAATCATTAAAGCTGCCATGTTCAATGCGATATCTGAGCGTGAAAATATAACAAATTGAGTTTTAAGTTGAATTAGGACATCGAAAGTACTTGTTTCGATTTAAGTGAATTTCATTTCGTTTATGAAATTCACATAAATTTAACAAGTACTAATTCAGTAAATGATGATATATAGAAAAAATTGTATAACTTTATACGAGCAATTCTTTATCTCCGAAAATATTCGTATAAGGTTGCCACCTATTCGAGGTTAGTTTCAAACTAAATAACACTTCATAATATGCATATCTAATGCAAAGTGTTTTGTAGACCTCTAATTTAGTAAAGTTTTTGAATATAGGGTTGCCATCTATTTTCCATCGAATATTCATAAATTTTTTATTTTTTATTTTTAAATTATGATGCAATATTACTTGTTAGGGATGGTGAAAGAAAGCTCCAAAACAATGCTTGGCATATCTAGTAAATGTTGTCCCTTAAGATAATAGTGTAAGGTTGCCACTTATTTTCGATTTTACAAAACTTGACTAAAATAGCTTAATATGGATTTCAAAGGTATTTTTGAGAACTTGAATTAATTTATATATTCCTTGAGGGTTGCCAGGTTTTTTTAATACTAATTTTTATTTTAGATGCTAATTTCAACGAGCTTTTTTTGTAACTAGATATATGCGTATGCATGTATACGCAGTAAATTTGCACTCAAAATATGTACTCTTCAACCTGGCGCATTACTTACAAGGGTTGCCCGCTAATTTTCAATATCAAATATTTTTTTAAATTAGATTCAAAAAGTAAGTTTTGTATTTTTTTTTTGATTATTTTTGTAGATCTGAGGTAATTACTCGGTAAAAATATTTTTGTTAATTAACATTATTTAAATTTTTTTTTACTTTTGGTTCACTGAATACTGAGATACTTCTAATGCTAAAATATTAACACATTGATAATATTTTTTTATCAACATAATTTGTATGGAAAGACGTACTGGATAATGCTAAACAAGAAATTTTATTTAAAAAATTACATAAAAAATATTTTTAAATTAAAGCGATCCAAATGACCATTATTTGATACCCCAATCTTGGAAACTTTAAAAAGTGTATGCATTCCGATCAGGGCAAATATCTTAAAATCACATTTCAATTACTCCACGAAACTCTATCAACTTTTAGTTGTCTTCAAAAAAGCTTCCTACCTAATTTCCGCATTTTTGCCCGAATCCAAATCCTCTGCTTGCAGCTTCTCTACGCTTGTGCCAATCTCCGAATTCTCCTCCACCACCGCCGAGTACTCTTCAGCCAGAAAACGCGGTGCATGATTATTCACATCGCGCACCGTTATATTTACACCGCAATTGGTGGTGAAGACACCATCATTCGCCTCCACCGTAAATACCAAATAGTCGCGCTTCAGGTGTGTCACATCCAATGTCGCATTCGAACGCACAGTTATCTGACCGGAACGCTTGTCGATGGAAAAAATGCTTGCGATTTGCTCATCACCAATAATGCGATAGCTAATGTCGGAAATCGTATCGGCATCGCGCGCCTTCACCACCAACGGTGAGTCAAACACGTGTGCACCTTCATCGACGGCGGCGCGATACAATGGACTCTCACACACTGGCGGCGAATCGTTAGCGTCAGTTACTGAAATACGCAATGCCACGACGGATGTTTGGCCTTGACCGCCGTCGTCGGTTGCCTGCACGCAGAATGGATGAATGGAAAAAAAGTGAAAACGAAATTAAATTCAAAACGTACATAGTAGCATGAGCAAGTGGAAGACAAACTTGAAATTTAAAAACAAATTGCAAATGAATTTCAAATAACAACCACAAACTTGGCCGGCCTGCAACCAGAGCCCCGCGGACCCTGCTACGGCAACAAAAGCAATAAAAAAAATGCAATAACAGAAGCGTGCTGGCTGTCTGTCACTCACTTTGTATGACAAAAAGTACGTGGTCTCCGTTTCGTAGTCGAGGCACGTACGCGGCACCTCAGCGCCTACGAAGTCAGCTTGTGCTGTTGTCGGTCGAGTGGAGGCGTGTGTTGCGCTAGTCGCCAACGTTTGCGACCAGTGGGATGGTACTGTTGCCGCTGCTGGTGCTGACGCAGTTGCCGTTTCGCTAATGACATCGTTAATGCTGCTGCGTGCTTCCGCCTGTGTTACGACTGTATACTCAACCGTTGGTTCTGTGTTGATTTCCAATGCATTGAACAGCGCAGCAGCAGGCGGTTCATTATCCTCCACCGATGACGATAAAGATGAGGATGGCACCAAATGACTGTAGTTATCCGTATCCAAGAGCGACAGTAGCGACGCATAGTCGGCCGTTTCGATTTGGTGTGCGTGCACGTCACGTCGTTGACGCCCAACATGTCGCCCGTCCCCACCACCACCACCACCACCAGCACCTCCACTGGCTGCCGCATTACAATCGGCCAATGTTATTACACCCGTTTGCTCATTAACGTGAAACAATTCTGCACCGGTGCCCGAAAGACTATAACGTATGCCAGCATCACCGTACTGTCCTGAATCCACATCCTTTGCGGTGATGGTGGTGATATATTGCCCGGACAATGCTGCTTCTGACACACTTGCCGAATATGACTCATGCTCGAAAATTGGTTTATTATCATTTGCATCCAGTACGGTTATTGTGATGGTGGCAGTTGAAGATAACTTCGGATTGGTATCTGTCTCCTCTGCAATGACAAGCACGATGAATTTACGTTGATTGGGATTCTCATAGTCGAGTGTGCCATTGCCAACGCGTATATTGACTTGCGAGAAACCGTTCACGAATTTCGGCTCCACTTCGAATACGCCAGACACATCGTCCAAACGTAGCGAGAATTTCGAATTGATGCCAACATCACGATCCGTCACATTCATGTCGAGTGCGAGTGGCGTACCGGGTGCGGTATTTTCTTGCAAGGATACTTCATACTCTTTCTTGTTGAAAGTGGGTGGTGAATCGTTGACATCACGTATGGTTACAGTGGCTTGGGCGGTGGTGCTTGTAAGTGGATCACTACTGGCTGCGCCGTTGACAAGTTCACGGGCCTGGAAGAGAAAATATGGTGAAAAAAAACGTTTTTGAAAATTTGCAATCCAGGGAAGGGGAAGGAAATGTATTCTTAGAAACACCAGTAGGGCTTGAAAGTTTTCCAAAATGAGGACGTAAAAGGTATTAAATCATATACATAGAAGAATCTCAAACCACCAAGGGCAAGATATTGTTTTTAGCATACCAGGATAAAATTCGTTTATGTAAAAAATTATCAAAAACAAGTTAAACTTAAAACGTTAGCGACATTTTTTTCAAAATTTTATTTTTGATATAGAAATATTCCTAGGGTATATAGATGTAATTCTGTATCAAAAAAAATTTATAAAAAAATGGCGCTTCCGTTATTTTGGCGGTTAGGGCTCGATATGTAGGTTAGCTTTTATTTCGATTAGAAAATGGGGCGTGGCACCTCCCATACAAAAGGAATTTTTCATACTGCATATCTCAGGAAGTATTTGTTATGGAGATATATAAAATCAATTCCATATTCATGTAGGAGGGCTGCCACCTATTTAAAAAGTCGAATTCAACTTGAATAAAGGGACGAAAGAGTCGTAAAAAAGTTTTAATTTGAAAAGGGTTACCACCGTATCTGAATTAGATATTCGCGGGCTACATATGAAAAACCTTAAAATATAGCTGTTAAGAAACCTTAAGTTTGAACATTTAAAATATTATTTACATGTTTAACAAAGGTTGCCACCTGTTCAAATATTAAATTCAGTTAATTTATGTAAATGAATTATTGAATATGGGTATAAATCGAAATGGGTTTGAAAAGGCTTCATTTCTAAACCACATGTAGGAGGAATGCCACCTGTACAGAACTAAATCAAAGTCTAATTAAGGGAATTAGGGAATCGAAATATGTTCACAACTTCGGTTTTAGATGAAATAGCTTAAAGAAGGTTGCAGATTGAAAACATCTTGAAGAGGGTTGCTACCTGTTAAAAAGTCAAGTTCAAATAATTTTAGATTTTAAATGAATTAATATTTTATGGCTATCAATCTACATAAATGATTTTGAAAAAGCTTTATTTGTAAACAACATACATGTGAAGGGTTGCCACTTATTTGAAAAATCATATTTTACTTAAATTAATGGAATTCAGTAATTCGAATGTGTGTCAGACGAAATATGTTAAGAAGGTCCAGATTGAAAACATTTTTAATAGGGTTGCCACATATCGAATTACACACAAGTTAAAGTGTCCAAGGTAAGAGTTTTTAGACATCTTAAGTATGAACATTTGGAACTTTCTGAGGAGTTTGAAAAGGGTTGCCACCTGTTTTAAAACTAAAATTAAATTAAATTTTTAAATGAATTATTATTTATTTCTAAGTTATATGTAGCAGCGTTACACCCTGCTTGAAAAATCAAATCCAACTTGTATCAGGGGAATTGGCTAATTCAAATACATACTACATATGTTTGCATGTATGTATCTTAATATGGGTGTCAGACGAAAGAGTTTTAAGAGGTTTTCCACCTGTTTAAAAAGTAAAATTCAAACCATTTAGCAATTCGAATGAATTATTACATTACGGATATCAACCGAGATGGTTTTGAAACAGCTTAATTTCTAAACAACAAGTAGGAGGGTTGCCACTGTCTAAAAATTCAAATTGGGCTTCAATCCAGGGATTAAGTTACTTGGAAATGTATCGCAAGAAAGAGGCTTAATAAGAAAGTTCGTTTGCCAATAAATCTCTTATGTTTTTATTTGAGTTTAAGTATGTTGAGTTTTATTGAAATAAATTACACCTAACGTAGTACGCAGAAATTTTATACACTCAGCGAAACGGGTGAGGCTAAAAAAAGTGTTCAATTCAAAAGTTTTTACCGTTTAATTCTGCAACCAAAATTGAAATGTTTGAGATAAAAATAAAAACTTCTATGGAAAGAAAAATCAAATATCCATAAACCAATGCAGGAAAACTGATTTACTTCTGCTTATTTTTATGCGGTATGAAATTTGGCGGTGCTCGAGCATCAATGGAGGTGGGTGTTAGTAACGTGGGAAATCACCCCACTTTTGTAACCGTTAGCAGGGATGAGATCCTTGATAGCCATCAAATCAGTATGCCTACTGCAAGAACAGAAAATATCAAAGATTTCGAAGGACTATACGGTTGATGCCTTCTTGTCGTCGGGTAGCTACATGGGGTTTATTTTGTACAGATCGGATTTTAGTTAGATCAGCGGCCGGTGGGCGAAAAACTTGGAACGCAAGATGGATTGGATCTTCTACATGTTAATGATCGGCGTTGAAGGGAGCTCTTTAAATTATAAAGTCACATCTCCTGTTACTGGTTTAAGTTCTTGCCGGCTATTATCCGATACTCAACATCAAATCAAGCTGATAGTACAGCTCGATGTATGGAGAACGACAGAATGGAATCATTTAAACATGTGATACACAGAATGCCCGACATTAATACCATGTACCGCACTTTTTTCTCACCACTGGGAAGCTTTCGGGGATAGAGAATAGCCACTTGCCCAACTTTGCTGTTAGAATGGAGCGCTTTACTTCTCCAAAGCGTCATCGTTCCATCAATTCTTTTGTTTTTCCGTTGTAATCACCAAAGGCATTTACTGTAGGTATTCACATCTGCTTGGTTATCTGGTTAGACCTACTATGTGTTTATATTATTTACTCGTTTTACAACAACAAAATAACAATAACCTATAACCCGTTAAACTTATAACCAGATTGGTAGAACCTAGATTCCATCAGAATATTTTATATCGAAGAAACGCAATAATCTAAAATATTTTAGTGTGCCTTAAAACGGCCAAATTGGAAAAGCGGGATTTTTTTAAAACTAAAATTTTATAAAATTCAATTCCATACTATGTTTTCTACTTACCCTAACAGTAAGCGTTATCAGGCCTGTACTATCGGGAAGAGCCTCGCGATCCAATGGTTTTGCTGTACGCAATTCACCACTTCTCTCATCCAGCAAGAAATAGTCCATGGGATCTGAAAGGACAAGCAAGAAAAGGCAGTTACGTAAGTGTGCACATTAGGATAGTAAAAAATAAGTTAAGTCGGAGTTTTAATGCTCTCACCCCCTAGGTTTGTGCTACATCGAAAAAACTATACCCCAATATTTTTTTTTTTTTTTTTTTTTTTTGAAGTCAAAAAATATTTAGAGGTCGCTCAAAGCGCTGAAAGTTTTCCATATATTTTATATATATGAAAAAACAACTTTCCGTAGAAATGGTATAGAATTCTTCGATCGATGATTTTTGGCAATTTTTTTTTTTGTTGAAGGTTTTGCTAATGTTCTCCATATAAAAAATCGTCGATTATACTTTGTATGGAAGAAAATTACTGACATCGTCAACAAAAACAATTACCAAAAAGCAATGGTAAGTCCATTATTATACAAAATTTGAATGGGCTACAAAACTGGATGCCCATATTTCTTAGAGATCTAATGTAAAAGCTCGAAATTTTTACGAAAGCTTGTTGATTTTGTTTTTTAAATGTGGCAGAAAAATTGAAACTTGGTTTTATACGGTTTTTTGTTAAAAAATAAAATGTATTTTTATGAACATATAATTAAAAATAAAAAAAAAATAATAAAATAAAATTTGGCAATGTGCGAGTTATGTTGAGAGCATAGAAATTCCGACTTTACTTTTTCCCACATGCATTTTTGGAACACCCTAATGTACATACATATCTGAAAGGAAATGCAGATAAAAAAAGTGCCTGAGCGAACAAGAAGAAATAAATTCTTATACAAATTAAATATCAATTTGTTTTTTTTTTTTGTTGCTGCCACTTAAGTTTTCTTCGCGGTAATAGCTTCATTTGTAATGTATTCGTTTGTATAACTGCATTGTAACAACTTAATAAGTTTCTGTGTAATTGCGGAAATGCGCTTGCATTCTTCTGTTAATGAAAGCTCTCGCGCGCACACACACACACACACACACACACACACACACACACACACATACACGCCCACAATCAAATACACCACGTACAAATGCAATGAATCTTCTTTTCCGCGCTCAATAATTTATCAGATAATTGCGTAAAAAGCTTCATCCATTAATCAACTTAATTATTGCACTTACTCGTTAACAAATCGTAAACGATTTTTCTCGGTTCGCCTGTGTCACCATCGCGTGCCTGCACCTTCAGCACCAACGTGCCAATGGGACTATCCTCGTCGATGACCGCCGACAAGGAGCCTTGAAATACAGGCGGCTTATCCTGTACATCCTTAACGCGTACTTCGAAATTCGTTTGTGATTTATGTACGCCATCCTAACGAGCGGCAAGGGATGTAAGAAAATGTTCGAGAGCGAGAGAAATCAAAAAGAGGGAGAAAAAGTATTAAGAAAAAATTATTAAGTAAACGCTTAATTGAACATTAAAAAGCCAGTTGCCAATTGGTAATAAAAGTACAACATTCCGCCCACCAATCTACACCGACCCCTTTGTATATACATATGTAAGCATGCACATATATGCTTACCGTTGCTTCAATTTGAAAGTGATAAATCATGCGTTGATTATAATTCAGCGTATCATTTAGCACCACCGCTGCCTTCAGTACGGTCGGCTCGCGTGATAGCGGCTCCAAGCGGAATCTGTATGGGCGTATAATAAAAGCATCGGTAAGAAGTGGTTGAAATTTATAAAAAATATAAACAAGATATAAAAAGAACCGTTTTTTTTTTCTTAATTTCCTTCAAGCATTGTATACACTGTTTGCACGTTACATTCACACTGCATACACTTACTTGTTGCATGCCTCCGGACTCTGTTCCTGTGGCAGGCATTTTAAGTCGAGACTCTCGCCGATGGTATCGCGGTCTGTGACAAGTATTTGATTGAAAATTGTTGTGCCAATGGCGGCATCTTCATTGACATCTGTTTCGTAGGGTGTCTGTGTGGAGAGAAAGGGGAATGATTAAACACATATTAGATAGTAAAAGAATACTAGTTGTTAAGATATGTACAAAAGCAATGGAATAATTTGCGTAATAACTCAAAGAAATTTCAAATTTTTTAACCGGCTGCAAAAACGGAGGAGGTTATCAATTCGTCGGACCATTTTTTTGTATGTTTGTTACCAGATTACTATGAACATGGTGAACCGCTTTCGATAATTCTTTACCGGAAAGGATGTACCTCAAGAATGGTCCCAGGCTTAGGCCGGCTTAATGGAATCAAAGTTAACATAGACGCCACTACATACTGACTACATTACGCCCGTTTAGAATTTTAATATAAGGATACATGTATGGTTGCCAACCAGAGAAGAAAGGAACGAAGGGCTTCCAACGGCTAATGATTGTTGAAAAATGGAGCAGAGAACCGACACCGGCGGAGGATCTGCAGATCGTCTGCCACAATCAGGCAGCGTGTTCGAAGCTGAGACTTATGCTATACATAAGGCAGCTAGTTCTTTGTTAATCAGCACGGTTCCAATAGGGAAGGCCACTAATTTCGTTGATGTCCAGCGGCGGTAAAATCAATAGGAACCAAAATGGTGGTATTTGGCAGTATACGGAAAAGTCTTGTCGTTTTGCCGTCACTAGGTCATTTCCACGTTATTATTTTCTTGGTTTCTGGATTATGCAATATCTAAGGAAACCTGGCAGCCGCTGAGATGACCAGGTGTGGTTAGACGAAACGAGACACATAACTCTATCTGCCACCTTTTAGTGATGAAATGAAGAAATTGATGGACCAAACGAGATGATTGTAAGTAACCCCTATCAATCGATCTAATAAAAGGAGACCAGACTTATGAACAGCTTCATAAATCTCTTGAGAACTAATCATATACTAGGAAGAGAGAAGATTTTGTTAAAAAAACTGCTAACGGAGCACATACATATGTATGTGACGGTTCTAAATCGTCTATTATGATATCCTTCAGAATATCGGAGCAGCTACATTATTATTATGCCGAGTTATAATCAAAAAACTTTAAGAGATTCCATACTCATTTTTTTCAGACATACGTGAACAAGCGTGAACTCAAAGGACTAAGTCACTTTGACTGGATATTGGATCATCGTTAGAATCGGTCAAGCCTGATTTGTAATACATTTGAAGGCTTGTTGCCTAATATGCTGTCTTCGAAGTTTCACACAATTGCGAATGAAATTAGTAGTTCTACAAGAGTCCAATGTGACTCTACGCAGCCATAGTTAAGCCCATAAAGTTCTATCGAGACCTCGACACTTAGGATGTTTAGAGAAGACTTCACTATTCCGAAAGCTGGAACGCGTACAGAAGACCGCCCCCCCCCCCCATCGAGATCAGCATGACACTAAAGACTACTCGCCCTTCTGGCACTTACGCCAAGCTTAACATAGCGCCCGGTGCTATCGTATGCAAGGCTCCGGCCAGACTTAGAGACACGGGGTGCTTAATTGATTCTGGATATTGGCGCTGTACTTTTCTTGGAAACTTTTACTTTATCTCTGCTAATACAGATCGCTGCTTGGCTATACTGGCACCCACGAGGTTTTTCCCACTCACATCTCCTGTAGGGATGAATGGACGGAAAGTGGAAGTGGGAACTTCTACACTGATGGGTCGAGAGAAGTGGTGGACGAAGAGAGTGGTGGATGAGTATTTCCCAATTTAGACCGGCAGATCACTACACAGTTTTCCAGGCAGAAGTACCGCCATTCGGCGTCAGAGCGGGCGAGTTCGCTCACAATGTGCTCTCTATATGCTATTCCGACTAGTAGCCCATAGTTATTTTACCGGAAACTGCGCTGCGGATGAGTTGACCGGGGAATTCTTCCCCGGGTCAATCTCATCGATAAAATAAAAAGTGGGGGCAGCTCTAGCTACATGTGGGCTGCTATGGGAAAGATGGGCGTTGGGTCATATCAGCGAACGATTGGAGACATGTGCAACTTTACCGTCATTCTCAAACTCAATTTTTGTATGTGAGGACCGGTGGATTTTTGTTGTTACACGAAAAGTCGGCTTGGCTGGACGACGACTGTTACATTTCATCTCTTCTCCAATCAAACTCATCATTAGTCTACCTAGGTCATAGAAGTAGAAGATTCTTTGTACAATCAGTGTTAAGAACTCAGTTTAGGGATACAAAGGATCTTCTATATTGTTGAAGCTCCTTTTCGTCAAACGCTTATGTAATTAATTAACCATTTCCTAAAATTTATTTTAATGTGCAAGCTCCTGGTATGGGTAAGATTTCCGTTAATCCAGCAGAAAATTTTTAACTGCTTGTGTGTACCAATAAACCTTTGTGGCCTAGTTCAGGGCTATATCAGGCACATTTCGGGACTAGTTCCCACCTGGTTTTGTACCATTTGGCGACTAGTTTGGAATTATTTCGGGGATAGTTCAACACCTGTTCAGGACTATTTGGGGACTAGTTCACAACTATTTTGAGGCCCATTTTATGACTATTTTAGGACCATTTGGGGTCTATCTGTGAATCATTTTGGGGCCGTTTCAAGACTTGTTCGAGATCCTTTCGGGACAAGTTCAGGACCCATTCAGAACCACTTCAGGACAATTTCGTGACTAGCCTGCGTATAATCCTGAAATAGTGCTATACTATTCCCGAAGTGGCAATGAAAAAGTCTTGTACTGCTCCCGACAAAATAAGTAAAATAAAAGAAAATCAATGTTTAATTTCTAACCCAACCTACTTATACAACTGAATCGCAAACTTCACATGCACCTGGTACTATTTAGGACTAACTATTTCCAAACAAAAAAATTTAAATTTCCCAATAGAACTTACATTCTGAAATTCCGGTGGATTATCATTTTCATCTAGCACAATTATAGTAATTGGCACTTGTACGATATTGTCTTGATCAGATTCACCATCTGGATTGACCTGATCTCGTATTGTGACATGAAATAATAGGCTATCCTTTTCCTCGCGATCTAATGGCTTAATTAGTTTTATTATACCCGTAATGGGATCCACTTCAAAGTGTTCCGAACCGATTGCACCAAATGTGACATTGCTGCCTTCGGGATCATAGCCCTGCAGCTGAGCCACGACTGTGCCAACGGCTGCATTCTCCTCGAGCACAATATTATTGAGTACTTGAGTGAAAACTGGCGGGCGATTTGTTTCGGCTGTGAAAGAGAGGAAAATTATATGCGTTTGGTTAAAGATTTGTAGTGAAAGAACAAAAAAAAAACAACTGAAAGAGGAGCTAAGCTAAGCGTGATTGGTTCAAAATGTGCGGTTTATTGTGCAATATTAAAATTTACTTACAGCTGACTAACGGTACGATGCTGACGAGCGCGAACAATAGCAGCTGGTAGTGCGTGTGCGATAATTTTAATCTAGCCATTGTGTTGTTGTGCTGCAAAAATGAAAAGAATGTGAAATTGCATAAGCAAATTGTATAATAAATAAAGTGAAAGAAAATGTTTCTTCTTGGTTTGGGAAAAAATAAAAATACATATGTATGTATGTATATGTATTTATGTACTTAGATTTTGTTAAATTAAAATTTACAATTTATGCCGTATTTTTTTTTGCAAATTTATGGTGCTCAAAGGGTTAAGCTTTTCTATTGAAAAGTCTCGATGGATTTTGACGGTATGCGAGTTGAACAAAAAAAAGGAAAAATATTTAAAAAACAGTATAAACAAGTAAAGAAGTATAAGTTCGTATTAAATATCGTTTTTTCAACTTTCTGTAAACAAACCGTTTCGATAATCCGTTAATTAATTAGTGAAATAAAATATTACAACAGTGCCGATGTCAAAGAAGGTGTTCCAAAGCGATCTATTTTGAAATAATTTTCAAGAAGGTTACCACCTGCTCAAAAAGTTAAATCAATTTAATTAACAAGTTAGATGAAATATTTGTATATAGGTATAATAAGAGGAAGGTTTAAAAAAAAAACTTAATTTCGAAGACAGTTTTTAAACAATCAATTCAACAAAAATTTTAGGAAAGCTTCATTTCGTAAAGTTTTTGAAGATGGATGCCCCCTGTTTGGAAATTCAAAGTCAACTTAGTTAACAAGTTAAATAAAATATTGTAATATAGGTTCAAACAAAAAATTGTTAAGACAACTTTGTGTATTGATTTTAGACGAAGGTTGCCAACTGCTTAGAAGTTCGATATTAATTAAATTAACAAGTTAAGTTAAATATTTTAATATGGGTGTCAGACGAAAGATTGAAAAAAAAATTTTCGCCATCTGTTTAGTAATTCAAAATCTAAACACAATATTTCAATAAGGCTGTCGTTAAATTTAATGAGTGGTTATGTTATTTCCCAAAAGATCACCTACATTGAATTGTTTTCGTAATATAGCTCCCTTAGAAGTAATTTCAGATGAATATTTAAACGGAACTTAAATTTAATTTTGGATTGTTCTTTAAATAAGCTAAACAAGTGGCAACACTGTTACTGGTCCCTTGAAATTGTTTTTGCATTTGTTTGTTTGTTTACATTTTGTGCTGAACAGCTGATTGTTGTTTTGCAAGATTGATTAAACCACTTATCTACCAATCTTGGTTGTTTGGTACAAGCACAGGGTTGCATATCTCATATTTAAATAGCCAATATTGGCCATTTAAGTGCAGAATAAATGTATGATCTAAACATAAATTTTTTGAATTAATGAACAATCTCTACTTAAATAGGCCATCTTTGTCACTCTGGGCCTTTTGTTTGACAGCCATATGTAATATTGTATCAAATTGATTTTCAATTTCAAACTTGTGGCAACCCTGTTCAAAATACTTCGGAAATAAATCTTTCTTAAACATCTTTCGTTTAACATGCATGTTGTAATATTTAATTTAACTTTAAAATTGGTGGCAACGCTCCATACAAATATCTTCGAAACCAGGCTTTCTAATAACTCTTTCGATCGAAATTCATATTGTAATATTTTATTCAACATAATAATTAAATGGAACTGGGCTTTTAAAATGGTGCCAATACTCTCCGAAATATTTTTAAAATAAAGTTTTTTTAATCGACTTTCATAAAAGGAGGGGGTTATAAGTTCGTCGGAATATTTTTTTTTATTACATTTTTTTTTTATGTATGTTACCGCATAACTTTAGACCACGTCAACCGATTTCGATAATTCTTTTTGCATCGGAAAGGTAGTGTCTCAGAGGTGATGAGAAGTTGTTTAGATCCGATCATTGGGTCATGAAAAAATTAACGGTACTCCTAAATTTTTATATGAGAGTTGAAGTCGGTTTTGTTTTTTGCTTAAAAATTACTTGTTAAACTTTAGTATCTCGTTGGACACTCACATTGTAATGATTTATTTATTTTTTATTAAAAAATGGGATTTGACTTCAAAACAGGTGGCAACGCTCTTTAAAATAGTTTCTGAAACATTAGTTCTTCGTCTGCCACCCATATTGTAATAATACTTCATTTAACCTATTATCAAATTTGAATTTAACACTTTAAACAGGTGTCAACCCCCTCAAAAATGTTTTGGAAATAAAGAGTTTTACGTCGCGTTTGCTTGGCATCCATATTGTAAAATTTCGTTGAACTTTTAATTTAAATTGAATTTATTTTATTAGGCAGGTGGCAACCTTCAAAAAAATATTTTATATGTTAAGCTATGTGCGCGCCAAATTTTATCCAAATTCGTTCGGCTGTGATAGTGAGATATCTTATTTAATTTTTGGAAACTTTAAAAAGTGTGTGAGTCCTTGCTCACCCTGGTACTATGTAATATGATTGTTTAACAATTTAGCTGAAAAAGTTAATGAACGTCAAAAAGTTAATGACGGTGTCAAAATGTTAACAGTATACTCACAAAAAATTTAAATAATGCAACAAATATATACATATGTATATGCATGTGTAATGTGTATGTAGCATATGTATGTATGCATGTATATACATATGTTACACATGCATTGTCTGTTTGCTCGAAAGCCACACAAATTGGCGCCAAAGAACTTTCATGCAAAGCCATCAGCAACCACTGAATTTTTGCTTTCATCAAACCACTTAAACCTCATCACATACCCTCCGCACTTAACAAGCAACACCACTTGATTGCAGCCAAGTTTGCACAACTTCGCACGACATTAATTACAGCAATTTGTGCGCGGACGCACCATTCCAACTCATTCACTAGCATGCCTCCTCCCTCCGTAGCTCGCGCGATTCCCACTTAGAATCCCAAAACAAATATTCACTAAAAATGTAAAATAGTTTTTCGGCTTTTTAAGCTTCGAGTCTGAAGTTCGGGTGTGCACTAATTAATGCCACAGCGCGAAAAAGGCAACAGCGCAACGCTGCTGCAGCTACCCGAATTTTGGCGTTGGATTTTATTGCCTTGCGGGTGTTGGCACACAAAACAGAAATAAGCGCAGCAACAGCAGCTGTTGGAGCAAGAAACTGCAGATGTTGCTGCCGCACTGCCGCACTGCCGCAGTGGAAAAGCAAACAAAGAAGTGATGCCGGCGCAAAAACTATAAAAAAAAATAAAAATAAAAGACAAACTGAAAACGAAAAAGGCGGACAAAAAACTAACGCCAATGAGTGACTAACAAAAACATTCTCAACATTCAAACATACAGTGGGGTAAATTGTGAATAAGGGTAAACAGCAAACATGCAAACACTACTGGGGCGCAATCGTAGTGCGGCACTAGCAACAACTTCATTAGCTGCATATAGCAACGCCGCCACCGGCAGCACCAACAGCGCGCGAGGACGACAGCAGGAAGTCAACTTTTGACGCACTTAAATCAAAACATCAACACCGAAAGCATAACTACGGTGACCATATTTTATTTATGCGAGCCGAATAGAGGACAAACAATAATTTTGCAAATTTTTTCCATAAAAGCTAACAGATCTTAATACTTTCTTTAATGCTCTTAGATGTATGCATTAGCCCTGAAACAGTATCCTTATAGTAACATCATAAATTTTTAGGATATTATTTCACGAAATGTTTACTCAAAAAAATTTATTACAAAAGCTTCGGTAAATTTTAGTATGATAAAGTGGAAGTTTTAAGTAGCTAGGACTTACCGTTAGTTTTTGGCAATTTTTTTTGTCGACATTGCTACGCATTTTTTTCATGAAAGGTTAGTATGCTGGACAATGTTTTGATAGGTTTGATAGGTGATAGGTTTTTGAAATGAGCAGCACGTTGCCTAGCATTTTATTATACTAAATTTTAATGAGCTAAGAAACTGCAACCAAATTTTTTTCTAGAGGTTCTGATTAAAAAGTTTGAAATTTTGGTGAAAATTTGCAGAATTGATTCCCATAGTTTTTGCACAAAGTCGGATATTTCGCTTTACTTAAAAAATAGTAATAAACATTAAATAAACACAAGAAAAATAGCCGAACTTTGCTAAAATGTATAATTCAGACTGGTACATAGGCATTCCATTTTAATGAGCTTTTAAGGCGTCGAAATACCGAACCTGGAATACGGAACAAATACAGGACATTAAAATAAATACAGAACATTTGGCGGCCCGTATAAAATAAATTAATTGCCAGGACAATTGGTCAAAAAAATAGGACTGTCCCGTATAATACAGTACGGATGGTCACCGTAAACATAACCCGCCCGTCAAGCGGCTCCATCAACTTCGTGAGCAGCGGTACTGCAGTTGAAAGCTGTTAAGTCGAGTGCGTCGGGTGGAGTGGAAAAACAAATAGCGTGAATTGTGCCTGCAAGCAAGCAACGAGTATATTTAGTAAGCGAGCGAGTGCGCAAAAAAGCCACTTGAGGGTGCGCAGCGAGCAAAATCAAGTGAGTGCAGCATCAACAGTTGCAGTGGCAGTAATAGCAGCAACAAGAGAAATCACAAATAGCGACAGGGACACAGCAACGAAGCAACAGGACGGGTATAACAGACAACACACTTGCACACTTGACGAGTTGAGTGTTGCAGCTTTGAAGCGCGTGTTGCCAAAGTGCCAAAAAGTAATGTTTACACCAACACTACTGCCAGCGGCAGTCAGCATCAGCCTGAAAAAAGCCGCCCTCCATCACACACCCGATCAATTAACTCTCTTCTTCAAGTGTTGATGTGGCATACGCGCTTATTGTGGTATGCAACAAGCGTTTGCTGTCTGTTTTTTTTGACACATTTAGCAAGAGTTTTTGCTGCACAATTTCTTTATTGTTTTCTTTCTTGTTTTTTTTTTTGCTTTTTTGATGCACAGCTGCTTTCCGGTTCTTATGTTTGTCTGCGTTAAAATTTTTTCCTTATCATCGGCGATTCCTTCCTTCCTTCCTTATTCTACGCTTCATTTAGTTTACTTAAGTGTTTTACACTTGCAAGTTCACGCAATGTTTTTGTTGTTTACATATTCTAAAGCTAAATGGAGAA